GCTATCCTTATCTAGTGAGATATCTAATCAGATAAGATATAGATCATCTAAACACTGAGATAAGATAGACACTAAGAAATTCTGTGATATACACATTCTCCACTCTGGGAGTCAAATCCATAGATCCAAACTTGGTCATAAGGAATATTTCTGAGCACCACCCAGTCACCTTGAACCACTTTTTGAGGACAGACTCACCTGGGGTTGGGTGTGAACCAGCATCACTGGCTCTATTGATGGATAGAGTCAGCAGGAAACATGATGTACAATTTCCGTGAATATCTGCAGTATCCCATGATGTGACACTGTGGTCAGTGGCATAGGTGAGTGTTCTCAACACCTCCTCCTCATCCGCCTTTTCATAGAATGCGGCAATGCCTGACTCCTCGGCCCGGTAAACTCAGGACATCTGTGCGAGGCAGCGAGACTCACTCATGGCGCCGTATCTGATGGCACCGACAATCGGCCCATTGCGACCAAGCTGGCGAGTGGGGCACTTAGCAGAGGGCACGCTGTATGAAAGTAAGAGTCAAATGTGCAGATGATTGAGGCTTTTTCACCAGATTGCTGTTCTGCTTTTATATTCGCCCTCGCAACAGGTACGCGTCGACGATGGCAGCTCGCCGAGCATAGAGTATCTCAAGCTTCCAGTGGCACAGCAACACGGCGTCAAAGCGCGACAGCCAGCCCTCGCCCATGCTTGAATTCCCGTTCAGTCAGCAAATCCGGATGAGGCAAGAGAATATGAGCTGATACCGACCACTGAGCTGAAAGCTCATCACGCACTTATCAACTCTCGAGCCCTTCTCGGGGTTGAGTGGGGGGGCGCAGGCGATGCTATGAACGTAAGGCGAAAACGTACACATATCCTACAATCCAAAAAATATACGCCGAGATATACTTCGTCAGGCCCACTTGCGCACGTCATCTGCATCAGGTCCATCCGGACTGTCTGACGCAGCTAGATTGCACTGATGATAGAGGCGAATTTGATCTGGCCTAAGTGTCCCCGTTACCGAGTGTATCATCCCTCTGTTATGGAAGAGCATGAGATCCTTTTCCCGCCTTTTCGAGGTATATTGAGCGCTCGATTCTTGCGCGCTTGGAATTAACATGAACAGCTTACCAATCATGCGGGTATACGAGCTAGGCGTAGATACATGTCAACAGATCGTGTGCAGAAGCATAGTCAAGAATGACGCACCTCTGGGGCAATCCCTGGCCGCTGCATGCGATACAAAACGTCTCTGACTTCCTTCAGATCCGTTACGTGCGCTCCGTCCGGATACCACGCGTTCTCTCTAACCGCATCCCTGGGCAACGGATCCACGAACAACTCCGCGACAGTCCATGGGTGAACTTGCAGGTGCAGTTCGCCAGTGACAGGGTTTTTCCAAACCTGAGACTCGGAAGGATCAGAACGAGCGCCTCCGACGATCGAATTTCTCACCAAGGGCAAGACTAGAATTTTAGACTCTTCCCAAGCAGGCAGCTTGTCATATGGGACTTCCAGTCCTTCCGTCTCCACACCCATGCCGGTCGATTTAGCCTTTGCTGTCGAAATCCATACATATGGATGAGGAGCATACTTCACCCTGCTCCTCACGGCTAGACTCTTTAGCTCGCGTGGCTGGATATCAAACATCATCCTTCCCGACACAAATGCCGTCGCCGCCAGCGGGACTTCAAGCTCGTCTCCCGTTCCGTCGTCATAGCGCACCACCTGCCGCGGGCCCTTCGGCACTTTGATTCCGTACAGCGTTGTCACCTTCGGGGGAAGGAGGTCGTACAGCGCCGCATCCATGTGCCAGCGGACAAATCGCGTCGCGCCCTTCTCCTGGTCCTCGGGCGAGATGTGCGTGCGATGCCAGCTGGTGTGCGACGGGTGCTGTAGCTGCACCTCGGGGAAACCCTCGTGATCGTAGCTGGTTCCGTTGCCGACCAGGTAGACCTGCGGGACACGCGGGATGCCCCTGAGTGTTGCGTGCAGAATGGAAGATTTCGTGCTCTCGATCTTCTTGTTTCCGTGCCCGAAGCTGTCGGATGTGGGGTCGAACGCCTGTGGGCTCATGATACAGCCGCTGGAGAATGCACACAGGTGTGTGAAACGCCTACCTTCGCTAGCGCATACTGTTGTTCCGGGGAGAGATCCACATCTCTGAATAGCAACACGCTATGCTGGAACGACCTTAGATCCACGCGGACCGTATAGAAATTAGATGATATGTGCTATACCTTGTACAGCAGCTCTTCGATTTCTCTGAATACCTCTGGTGCGAGCGCCCCTAGATCGACTCCCTTGATTTCCCTGCCGAAGTCTGCGCCCGAGAACATCTCCACGTTGGCCGAAGGTGGGAGGGGAAGGGGTAAAACCTCGACTGCCATGTCGTTGAATGTGCCTGTGGGGACAGAGTCGAGCAAATACGATGGGACGCAGCTTACTATCAAAAGCAAGGTCTCTATATGGCCCCATCTCGCGAAAAGAGATGTTTAGCATGGGAACTTCTCCATTCAGATCTTGACGGAGAAGCCTTCTGTGCCTCGCGGTATACTGCGGAACCCGCGAGGAAGGAGGCTTCTATCAGTCAGTTGTATTCTGTAGACTAGTCTTCCCTTGTTCTGTGTTTCTAGCCAGTCTTATGGTCGCTGAACGCTACAGCCAGCTCACTGTTCACAAATCTCTCTGACTTGGTCAGTTTGTGGAGTCGGTTGCAATCACATTCACTTGAGCGCTTCGGCCAACAAGGTAGGTACTTGCCAAGACTGCTCAAGTCTAGATCCTCCGCCTTGGTGTACGGAGGATCAAGTCCGTCTTCCCGCCCGCCGCGCTGAGTGGGGAAAATACACTGAAACAACAACAGAGAGCTAGGAGCCCATCCAGATTTGCTGCTATACAGATCAGGCCGCACCGACCCAGCCACTACTAGTTACACACATACTTAGTACGTTCTGATGCTGAGTTTGAGAAACCTGATTTGAACCGAATTGTACAGATCCACAAGCATAAGTGATACAAGTCCGACGTCGCCACCGCTCAGCCTCAAATCACAGACATTCGGCCGCTGCTAGGCCTAGATCTCCGGGAAAACACCTAATCAGCCCCATGCCTCCAATCTGCGCACCGCATCTCCATTCCGGATCTGCACGCCTCAAGCCCATTTCTGGACATCCGCTGCGTCTGGGCCCGCCGGAGCCGACGAGGCGGCCAAGTTGCACTGGTGGAACGCGCGAACCTGGTCCGGCTTGAACGCGCCCACAACAGTGTGCAAGACTCCCCTGTTGTGGAACAACACCAGGTCCCGCTCGCGCCTAGAAGAAGAAGATGATGATGATGGGTTAGCTGCCTGTGTGCAGTGAACGAGAGGGGTCGCCGGTGACGTCGGCGCCGAGAGCGTACCAATCATGGGGATACACCAGCTGAGCGAGCGGGCAATGTCGCCGCTGCCGTCAGCGTGTGCTATTGCCTGGTATAGCGACGACAAGGCTTACCGGAGGTGCAATCGCCGGGCGCTGCATCTTGTAGAGTAATGCACGGACCGCGCCCAGGTCGGTGATGTGCGCGCCGTCCGGATAGAGTGCGCCTTCTCTATTTGCACCCTCGGGGAGGGGATCGACAAGAAGCTCGGCGGCCCCGCAGGGGTGGACCTCAAAATGCAGATCCCCGGTCACCGGATTCTTCCACAGCTACGGATACAACGTGGTTACTCCTGATAGCAATCTGCGGTAAAATATTGACGTCAACTCACCATAGGGAGGACTTGCTGCTTCGAAGCTTCCCAGGGGGGGAGCTCTGCGAGGGGCAGCTCCAAGCCCTCTGTCTCGATGCCAAGCCCGGTCGATTTTGCCCGCGCAGGGGCCATCCACACGTACGGGTGGGGCGAATACTTGACTTTGCTCCGCACCGCCAGGCTTTTCAGTTCCGGGGGGAGAATATCGAACATTGTCTTTCCGGAGACGAACGCCGTCGTGCCGAGCGGGACCGGAAGCTCGTCACCCGTGCCATCATCGTAGCGCACGATCTGCGGTGGGCCCTGAGGTACTTTGATGCCGTATAGGGTCGTAACTTTGGGCGGAGAGAGATCATATAGGGCAGCGTCGATATGCCAACGGTAGAAGCGTGTGATGCCACGAACTTCGTCCTCCTCTGACACACGAGTCTTGTGGAAAGTCGTATGCGAAGGGTGCTTGAGTTTCGCCTCAGCAAGACCCTCGTGGTTGTACACAGTGCCATTTCCAATCAGCTGTACTTGCGGAACACGTGGGATAGTCTTGAGGTCAGGATGGAGGATCGACTTTGTCGTGCCTTCAGTCTTGTTGTTGCCGTGCCCATAGCTCTCTGAGGCAGGGTCGAAGGCCTGCAGAGAGTGGTCAGTCATTCGCGATAGTCCGGATTTGAGCGCATATGCAAGGAATAGCAATACTATGTAACGGGTGTGGACGTCGGTTCACCGCCCCAAACGGCGGAACAATGCCCGGCAGGAATTCAGCTATAAAATCGGCAGCACGCTCCGCTTGTCGAGCATCTAGACATCCGCAGAGCGCACCGAATCTCTAACATGGAGATTAGATATAGACGTTTGACTTGAGCGAGGCCCAAACACCCGCTGCACGCAGCACCGAGAGCCGATATATTTATCGCCAGCGAAACAGCGCTGCTCAATATCGGCGGCGGCGACATTTTGGCTATACATGACCGGCGTCCAATTATAGCGCACGAGAGCCGCTCGTGTGCTCACCTTCGTGAGGGCATATTGCTGCTCGGGAGAAAGGACGACATCCCTGAAGAGCAGCGCACCGTGCTGTTTGCGATCGCGTAAGCTCACACGAACCACTGGGTCCAAATGGAAGATCGGGCGGACCTTGTAAAGGAGTTCTTCGATCTCCTTGAATTGTTCCAGGGAGAGCGTCCCAGGATTGATACCCTTCACTTCCCGGCCAAAGTCTGTAAACTTGGACGAATCTGCGGAGGGGGGCAGGGGAAGAGGAACAGTTTCAATGGCCATGATAAGGAAACAAGACGGTAAGTGTGATGGAAAGACTCCAAGGAGAGGATTCAGGATCAAGCTCGTCGACAGCTGAGGCTCACCTGATCCCTTGCCTTATCTTATCGCATTCCACGTGACCAGTTCTGCCGCGCCCACGCCACCGAGACGCGGTCAGTCAAACGCGCCCGCGTTCAACTTTGCGCTCACCGTCTCTCTCGACGAGCTAAAACACCCGCTCTCTGCGCCATGTACGGATCATCTGCTGCACAGAAGGCAAAGAGACGCACGCACGCGCGCCCGGAGCTTACGGACGAGCAGAAGCAGGAGATCAAGGAGGCGTTCGAGCTGTTCGACACGGACAAGGACGGCTGCGTCGACTACCACGAGCTCAAGGTCGCAATGCGCGCGCTGGGGTTCGACCTGAAGAAGGCGGAGGTGCTGAAAATCCTGCGCGACAACGACAAGATGGGGCACGGGCTGATGGACTTTGACGATTTCGCTAAAATCAGTTGAGTGGATCCGCTTCGTGGTTCGGCCGCATTCTGCAGCATAACTAACGGGTGATTATTGCCGCTGTCCTGCCTACACCGCGCTTTGGTGGCGTGTTCCCTTTCGCGCGCAGTGAGCGAGCGCATACTCGCACGGGACCCCATGGAAGAGATCCGGCGTGCGTTCCAGCTGTTCGACGACGACAACACCGGCAAAATCAGTCTCAGGAACCTGAGACGGGTCGCGAAGGAGATCGGCGACAGGCTGGAGGATGACGAATTGTACGCCACACCCACCTGCATTCTATGCGCCGAATCTGCTGAACGAGCCGCTTCCCAGGCAGGCGATGATTGACGAGTTTGACCTGGATCAGGATGGAGAGATCAATGAACAAGAATTCTTTGCCATCATGACGGATGACGCGTAGCGTCCCCCGCGCCACCCATATGCCACCTAGTGCCTTGTTGTCTATTTTTTGCCCATCTCTCGCTGTGCTTGCATATCCTACTCCGTCCGCTGTGGCTCGTCTCGGTAAGTGCAGGACCGGTGCTACCCACGAGCCGGGCTGACGACGAGCGCACAGATCATACCATACCTACGCTGGACAATGTACCCTCCGCATTTTGTATCTGTAGAGAAAAACAGAGCGCCCGTTCGTGCCACCTGACGCGTTCCGCTGGGCCTGGCCGTGTTTGCGGCCGGACCTGGGCAGATTGACACTGACACCCGCGGTCCGACGTCCCAAAGACCCAAGTCGGAGCAGGTCGAGGAACCTGCAATGAAGGCTATGTATCTGAGTTAGCGGCCGCACGCGGCGCCCGGTGACTGGGCGACCGGGCTACGACGCTAGGCTCGAGCTGAACGGTGCATCCGGCGCGATCTTGATGCGCAAGGTAAACTTGGAACGAGTGCGCCGCCCCGATCCGGGCGGGGGCTCTGACGACGGAGTCGCAGCCTCAGAGCGCAGCTGCTGTAGCTCGGACCGTCGTGCGCGGCGGGCGCAGCGCGGGGTCGCTGGCCTGTGACCACGGAGCGTGGCGCGCGTGCTACATGCACGGTGGCAGCGGAGGCCGACAGGCGCCGCCCGGCATATGCGGGGCGGGCGCGGGGCGGGCTCGTAGCACGAGGCACGCGGGGGGCGGCCGCTGCGGCTTCGGGAATGGTGGCGACGGCCGGGGGGCCCGGGTGCGGCTAGCCCGTTTTGGGCGTGTCCCCCAAATGTCCTGGCCGGCCCAGGGCTGCGGATAAGAAAAACGGGGGGCGATCACGGCGCCAGGGCGGGTGGGCCAGCGAAGAGTCCATTCGAAGCCGCCCTGCTGGGGCCGCCCTCGGCGACCCAGGCCCTAAGCTAAACTCGCGCGGCGCCGAGCATCCTCTGCCATGCCACCCAGATCACATGCGAGGGCAATAGTATCACAGACCGGTGGCCAGTGGCGCACGCTTAGTGGCGGAAAAAATCACAGAGGGGAGCCCGTATTCGATACAATGGTATGTGTCGTATGGTTACAGCAGGCAGACAATGTCCAAGCAGAACCAGTTCCAGCCGCAGCCCGTGGAATCCCAGGAATCAGAGAGCGCAAAGAAAGAAAGAAAAAGTCGACTGGGGAATAATGATCATGCAACAGGAAAACATGTACACCAGAAGGGAATCGTCAAACACCCGTGCTGCGTCTCACAGCCCATCACCGTACAGGGCGGCGCACTCGCAGATGGCCATGTCTCGTCATAACATCGTCAACGCGCGTCGATCGCGGCCATTCGCGCGGTCCGTAAACTCTCGCTCGCACCCACTCCGCCCTCATACTGCGTTCGAGATCCGGCGGTGCTTCGGCCAGTTCTTGTGCACCCGCATGTGCTGGCCAAGGTTATCGTGTCGGCTGAAATCCTTCTCGCACACGGGGCACCTGTGCGCTGCAGAACGACCACCGTCAGCCACCGCCCGCCAGAGAAATAAAGAAAAAAGGCTAGACGGCCACGCACGCTTTTCGTTCGTGTGGATGCTCCGCACATGCCGCTTGAGATGCTCGCCCCTCGCGAAACACTTGCCGCAGTGGGGGACTTGACACATGTACGCGCGCGTGTTCTGCACACAAGGCACCGTGAGCGGCGCGGGCTGCCAATCTCCGCATGATGGAAACGCACCTTCTCCACGCCGTTCTCAGACACGATGACCGGCACGGTGGGCACGCGGCGGCCCCGGCTCTTCTTCGTCAGGTTGGGCACCGGGACCGGGAGCGTGTTCCGCCGCCCGCCCTCGGCCTGCGACATGACCGACGATGCCGCAGATGCGCTCGAGATCGCGCGCCGGCGTGTCCGCGGGCGGGACACACCCGACGCCGACGGCTCGATGTACTCCCCGTCGTCGTCGCCGTCGTCCTCGGGCGAGTCGCTGTCGTCCCTCTCTGACTCCCCGCTGTCGCTCGCGGTATCTGGGAACGAGCTCGGCGACGCGGACGAGCTCGTGTAGCTCACGTGGCGCCGACGTTTCGCATCCTGCGCCCAGGTCGCCTGGATCAGGTCCGGCGAGTTCCCCGCACTTGCACTGCCACTGTGGCTCCCTGCGCTCCCGTGCGACGCCGGACTCGGGCTGCCGACGATGGCGCGTGGGTCGCACACCGGCGGTGACACGGCGCCAGTGGCCTCGTCGTGGAGCGGGGCAAAGGCAGATACGGGCGAGACGTTCGGCGAGACCTGCGCGGGATTGACGAAGCGCGGGATGTCCTCGGCAGGCGGCGGGAAATGCAGGCTGGCGGCGGCGGCAGCAGCAGCAGCGGCAAGACCGTAGTTGGGGGATCCGGCAGATGTGCGGATGTATGGAGGGGCGGAGGGAGTAAAGTCAAAATTTATGGTGGCAGGACCGGCAGTGAGGGTCTCTGGCATCGGAAGTGAGGCGGGCGGGGCGAAGCCAGACCCACCTTGCTGCCCAGTGAAAGCTGGGAACGGGGTGAGCCCAAGGTCGGAAGCATTGGCAGAGGCAGCGTTGTTGTCAAAGTAGGACGAGCCGTAAGTATTGTCGAATCCAGCAAAGGCTGACTCTGCCTGTTCCGGCTTGAGGTAGCGGCGAAGAAGGTTCATGCGCTCGTCGGTCATGTCGGGGGCGGTGTCGAGGGGGGTGGAGGACTGAGCAAAGGCAGCAGAATCGATGCTTTGTGCGGGGGTGTCGTAGGCTGGGGCGCCGTAGAGCTCACTGAATGGGAGGGAGCGGTCCGGGGTGGGCCATTGCTGAGCCTGTTGTTGCGGCTGATTCTGCTGGGGGTCGAGGAACTGCGAGCCGTATAGTTGACTGAAGCTATCGACTGGGGCGTTGGAGTCGTACTCGTAGGCGTGCTCAAAGTCCGAGTCGAGCTGCATTGGGTACTCGACGAGGTTCTGTTCCGGGGGAGTGGGTGCGGCAGACATGGACGGTGCGAACGAGGATGAGGGCTGACGCTGAGCGGGAGAAGATGCGGATGGGTATAGTGGGTGGGGGGAGGACATGGATAGGTTGTGGCCCTGGCGGGGGGCAGAAGAGCGCACAGAAGAGAGGCCGTAGTGGGAGGAGGGGTGGGGGGAAGGACGAGGAGGGATGGGGAACTGGTGTGCGGCGGACTGGAGGAGGACGACGGGCTCGATTTGAGGACGGCGGGCGTACATGGCAGACATGGACGAGACGGAAGATGGGGGAGCGGACGGAAAGGGCAGAGAGACGCGGGGCGGAGGAGAGAAGACGGGTGCGGATATAACGGGGAGGGTGAAACTGGGAGGCGGGGATCGTGATCCAGCCGGGGGGCCAAATAAGGGCAGGGAGGGGGGGACGGGCCTCTGCGGCGGGCTGGGCTTGAACTGGATTCGAGGCACGGGCGCGGATGTGATCGACCACACCGGCGGGCTGTCATCCCGCATGACTCCCCAAGGCGCACCTGCTCCACCCCCCAGCTCGAGGCCTGCCCCCTCCGCCCGCGCCCGTCTCCCCCGCGCCCGCGCCCGCGCCCGCCCCGGCCTCGCCCCCTCCGCTAGCCCCCCCGCTCCAGCTTGGCACGCCCGCTCCCGCTCCCGCCAGAAAGGAGCTACTTCTTCTACACAGAACAATGTCGCCAGCTCGCCCTCTTGGCCGTCGATGGCAGGCCGCTAGCAGCTGTGGCAGCACCAGGAAGACTCGCGCGCCTCCACCTCTCCCTCCCATCCCTTTATCCCTCTCGCCACCTCCCCCGCCTGCCTATTCCAGTCAACTCGGGCTCTCTGGTGCATCTCTTCCCACACCCGCCCCCCACGGCCCACCGTCGGCCGGCACAGAGATGTGCTGCCCACAGCCGCCAGCCATCGCGGTGGATCTCAGACTGCATCTCCCACTCGCACTCCGATCTCCTTGCCGTGGCACCAGCACCATTCCTATTCCGGAACAATCATTTCTCGATCGCCCTCTATCTGGGCCACCTTTACAGCCTCCGCATTTATTGTTCTGTCACGCATCACGCCGGCTGCCTTATCCAGGCGGATCACGGCTGCTTCCGACCGACCTGCCCAATCGCACCGTATCCCGTGATGACCCGCCTGCCTATTACGTCACGCGGTCGACCGTGATGATTTGGTCCGCCCCCCTGGTGCAGGGCGCACCGCGGCGGCGAGACTCAGTGAAGTGGCACTCGTATGTTCGAATCCCATTCAGCGCCACCTCCACTCGTCCATGGTAATCTCCCAAGGGAGCCGAGCCTGGAATACCGCACAGATAGTGAAGAGTGGAAGATGATCGTCATACCGACACCCAGTCCCAGTCGGCCGCCCCATCCAATTCCGTCCTCTCCACTCCGGACGTTTAACACACGTAAGTGCGTTCACAAATCATATCGCTTCGACGTCCAAATGACCACATACGACGCAGCACGATTCGGCCGCTATCTTTTCCCGGTTCTCACCTGCCTTTCATAGGTTCCTCTCCCCCGGAGCCAGCTCAACCGTTGTCCACCTTCACCTTCGAGCGTCCGTCTCTCATCGATAACATCGTGGGCATACGATAGTCCTGGAAGCATTGTGCTCAGCGTCTCAGCTCGTCGAACAATGGGCAAGACACACAATGCCCTACGCCCTGGATCCTCGAACCCGATCATTGGGTTCCCTGGTCGCATATTCGCTGTCGAGACAAGTCGCAAGTGGGGACATGCTAAGCCCAGCGAGCTTACGTTTCACTCTTGTTCTGACTCGTTTAGCCTGTATCTACAAACTGACATCTTGGATCGAAGTTGGCAACATTCATCTCCGGTTATAAGTCTTCCGGTGTCCAACGCTCATGTGTATAATCTGGAAGTTTAGTGAGTCATTCAAACAATATTCAAATCACGAGATTTACTCATCTTGTTCCCAAACCTTCTGGAGCTTGTTCTACAGCACATCCCTGTGGGTTTTCTTCAATATACATGAGCGTTGGACACCGGAAGATCCACGACCGGAGATGACTTGAGAAATATGGTCAGCTTCACTTCAAACGTCAGTCTGTATCAGGCTGAAGTGTTTGATGTCAGAACTAGAGTGAAAGACTGTTAAGATAAAATAGACTCAGCTCGAAGTAACGAATATGCCACGATAGGTAGCTGGTGGTTGGTCTACCGATTGCCAGCCATTCTCATCTACAATCGCCCTGAGTTGTGCAAGGCGCGTCAAGCCTCAAACTAGTTGTTCAATAGGCACACTCTGCATCCACCCTCTCATACAGTTGATGGGGATCGGTAGATAGAATATGACCTGGAGAGGTTAAGTGAGTCATTTGAACATTAGTCAAAACACGAAACTTTCTAATCCCACCCCTCGACCTTCCGAAGCTTGTTTTACACATATTCTCTTCACATCCCCGCTGGGTTTCTCTAATATTATATTTACTGATCCCCATCAACCGCACGAGGAGGGCGAGTGCGGAACCAGTGTCTGTAGAACGTATAGTTCAGCACTAAAGATCTACGCATCTTAAACAGCTGCAGAAGGGCATTCATTCTTACCATATTTACATTTTCACTCCCTTTTAAAAAAGAAAAATGGTTAGGGAATAATTAAGGAATGACGTCCTGCGGGGATAGAAGACGGGAAGGTGGCCAATTCTTTATCAATTACATCTTGGAATGTCCACCATTTGTCCTGCCCCGCCATGCTAGCAGCTAGATGGCGTCTGGAATACAATACATCTTGCGCGGTGACGGAGTGACAACCCCAAGTGCCGACCTAAGTGTTCAGGTCTACCGCAAGATCTCTCAACCCGATTTACGGAATTCACTGAAGGCAGGGTCACTCGGTCCGGAGGCGAATTGCCGCAGCCGTGTTGCAAACGATATCGCTAATGGAGATATGTTTAGTTGGGCTACCGCCTCTTTCTCCCATGGAGCTGATGAAAAAAATGAACTACGTCCTCCGGCGTTACGCGACGGCCCACGGCTACGGACGCTATACCGACCCCAGCACGGCACAATGCGAAGCCGCGGAGAGCGACCGAGAAGACGCACTGCGGATCAAAGCGTACGTCTCTCACCGAGTCAACATCGCTCGAGAGGGCAAGCCTGGCCCGCCGCTCGCCCTCGTCTTTATCATGCGGCCACGGCCCTGCCACCAGCCCAGCAGTGCGACCTCAAAGCGGACAGACCCCGTTCACTAGGCATGATATCGGCAGAACGGGCGGTGTGAACGGTCCAATTAATGTCTCCCCAGTGCGCACGAGATCGCGCCGCAGTTCAGCACATATCGGGCGCCCATAGGATAATGGAGGCTGGCTGGACACTGGGATACTGAATGGCGATGCAGCAAGCATGGCGGCTGCCTACCCGCGAAGCTGACGTGTCCACATCGCGGGGTAGGCGATCCGCTGTGGGGAAGCCCGGTGTCGTTGCTTTTGCTTTTTCCGTGGGTTCCTCCGACCCCAAATAGACGAAGCCCGGTGCGCGGGGGATGGCACCCACGCGAAGTGCACGACGGCCAAACGGGCTGGATGACGAGCAGTGCGTGGCCGGGAAGTAGCGGGTGTCCGAGACGCAATCGTGGCCCCGCGCCCAGAGGTGTGCTCGGGCGCGGCCAGTTATCAGAAGCCAGAGGGAGGTGGCGTGACAGGGCCACGAGCGAAGAATTGCCCGATGCGGCTGGTCATGAGCCTGCATATTGCTGTTAGCCGGCGGTGCAACTAGACCCCAAAGTTCAAACGTTCGCGATCGCTCCACGTTGCATTGCAAACCTTGAGCTTGAATTTTGAATTTGCGCAAAGCCACAATCCGCTTCGAGCGCAGGACAATGTGCGCCGAGCGTGACAATAATGAGTACTCCAGGAATAAATTTGTAAGGACACGGTGCACAACTCAGCCGTCGGGTACGGATGCGCTGCTTACTGCACTAGTCGCGATGGAACCCGCGCCGAGCGTCGTGAGAATCCGCGCGTGCCTCCACAGCCCGCCCCGCCCCGCCCCAAGCCTGCTCGCGCCCTCGCAGTCGGTCTGCGCGCAGCGCCGCCTCTAGGCGCAGTGTCAGCACGGGACCTGCGGGCATTTTGCCGAAAGATAAGCACGGATCTCGCCCCAGATCCCGCAGTCCGGATCAGTCATGCGCGGAGACCGCCCTGGGGCTCGAATGCCCGCAGCAGCCCACTGGGGCGGGTGTCAGACTAAGTTTTTGCGGGCTGTGGGGGTTTGTTGCTGGGGCCGGCCGTCCACTCGCTTGCGTCCACTTTTGTTTGGCACAGACGTGCTTTTTCTCAGCGTCCAATGCGGCTGGCCGACGTACCGCTGGCTCCCGGGGTTATGGTTGAAACCACGGCGGCTGACAGACATTACTATCCTTCATAGTGGTGCACACGTTCGCCGGTCCGGAGGATGCGGGGCCGCCTCTGCGCTATACCTTCCCGCATTTGATCCAAGCCTGAGCGCAGAAACCGAACGATTGGGGGGAGTTCACGACAGATTGTGCCAGACTAGTGCGGGGAATGTGGACTGATACATACAGGATGTGCCCTGGAGGGCACGGACTACGAGAGTACGAGCGATTACGGTCCGGGTGGCGAGGCTCTTCTCCCCGGAGCTGACAGAAAAGAGAGATGGTCCGCTCGAGGCTCATGCCACTGTGATATTGCGCAGACGACAAGTATCTGTGCACCACGCCCCAGAGGCGTGCGCGCGTGCTGCGGAGCGCAAGGGCGGCCGCGGCGCAGCCAAAAAAACACGCCGAAGCCGCCGGGAAGGTGGAGCAACACAGCAGCGCTATTATAAATTGGGCACCCCATGTCTGGCACCCCTGCGTCCACCGTCATGCTTATGCGGGAAAGTAGAAAAGACGCGGGGATGTGGGGATGGGCCACGCCTGGCCTACTGCGGTCCGCAAGGTAGGCTGTATGCGTGAGAGGAGGGCGGAAATGACGGGTTACTCGAGTGATTGGTAGCGTGGCGTCCTTCTCTGCTGTGCTAAGTGGGTAGGGCGATGAGAGGACCGTACGGACGGGACTTGGCGGAGGCGGTGGTCGCTATTTGGTATGGGCGGCGCGAATGAACAGATAGTACTATTTGCACACCGGATTACATACCCAGGACAGCCGCTGCATATAACCGCACCCGGTATGAATCCCGTCAACAATTATGAAGACATGGGTTCAATGCATCGGACAAGAGATGACCGGTCAGAATGAAAATTGTCAGCGGTGGAAATGAAGCAGCTTCGTAGCGACGCACCACCACCAGCAATAGACACGCGGCCTGCACCGGCCTCGGTTTAAAGCTGCGATGTCTGAGGTGCGCATGATTGTCCGATCTCGTCCAAACGTGTGGTACGCATGCATCCAGCGGATATGATTAAAGGATCTTCCAATCCGGCTGTGTGCCTTCCCTGTGGACACAGCATCGATGGACGGCCATCTTTGTTTATAGAAAGATGGGGAGAGTGGAAGGATCCCGAAGCGTCGGCGTCACAATGTGATAGCGATGCGCAGAACAGCCAGATCCCGAAAGGGCAGGAGTTGGCATAGAGCTGCGTCGTATGCCCTGCTGATAGGAAGATCGAGCGAATCAGGGTACGACGCCAGATGGGGTGCGTGGAGTCGGGAGGCGGGAACAGTGCCACACTTCACATTCCGTATAATCGGTCCCCGATATCGGCCATGGCGGGCAGAAACACCGTAAAACAAGCTAGTGCGAACGGTATATTAAGCAGCGGGTCATCGACGTTCCACTCCAAGTTTTGGGGTGGAGCACAAGCGTAGAGAAAATTGTCCCCGGCAGCCAAGTATATGCCAAACATATTGAGAGCCGTATGGCTTGGTATCGATTCTGTGTACACGGCTGGGACCCCTTTGCCGTTCGAATGTGATTCTCGAAACGAGTTCCTCTGAAGCGATTATGGTTTTCATTTTGCAGCGGCACTTTCCCGGGCTCGGTGGCTGGAAACTTTGCGCCCCAAAACCAATTTGAGGTTCCAAGAAGCAATACATAGCCTATAGGCTGTGTTAAACGTAACTGAGTCTTAGCCAACAGTCACCGGAAATGCGCTATTCGCCTTTGGGAACATACGTACTTGGACATCTCTGACGAGAAACCTGCCCGGACGAGGTTGAATTTGAACAGCAGGCAATTTGGCAGTAACAGGGTCGTCAGCGTATTTCCGACATGAAGATCAAGATAGTGTCGCCTAACCAATACGCCTGGGCTTGATTGATAGCACCAGGGTACTTATGTCAAAGAGCAGTTTGAAACTGAAGAATCATCAACATTAAGTTCTCACAGGCGTCTACAGAGGAGGCAGAAGGCCACGGCAAACACCGAGCGACAAGAGTTCGAGCACTTTGATTGTAAATAATTCGCGTGAAGGCCGAACGAAAATGATTATAGCTGCAAACTTGGATCATCTTCACATGCACTCTACATAAAAGCCAAGCAGTTACCACATGGATCAGGCTTATGGTCGTCGAATACGATTGGCTCCGTCATATTTTCAGATAATATTGTTCAGATATGCAGCAAGACTAATAACAATTCGACAGCGGTACGTACTCAACAGAGCTTACAGACGATCACAGATCATAACATGGATACGAAATCAAAACAAATCGCAGAAAAGCAAGGATAGTGAAAACGACAGCGAACGATATGCAAAGTTAAAAACGAGATCTGGAGAATAAGATTGGCATACGATGTAGAGCCTTTCATCGACGGCGCTTGGACGACTTGGACTTGGACGTGGATGGCTGAGAGTCAGTTGCGGATGGATCATGCGGGAGCACACGCCACCCCCGAACAACCACACCATCAGGCATAAGGGTGTCCTCAAACTCCACCGGGATCGGAGGAGGTATTTTGGGAAGCGTAGTAACATCCACTGGGACCGCAGGAGGAAGACTCTCGCCAGGACCAGGCGGCACATACTCTACACCAGCCTCAGCAGCACGAGCACGAGCCTGGCACTCAGCTAGAAACTCGAGAGCTTTCGGATCCGGGGGACGGCCATCGTATGCGAAGAGAGGTGTCAGAGGGTTCCGCTGGGGGAGTCCAGCAAGGAATGGCGTCGCTGCGAGGGCCCACCCTTCTGCCACCAAGTCGGGTGGACGAGGGCGGTACTGGGGCATGAGCTCGCCTTTGAAGTCCTTTGTGCAGTCAAAGAGAGCCTGATAATGCTTATGCCTGCGCTCGTGAGCAATTAGATTGTCTCGCCGCGTAAACTGGCTGGAGCAGATCGGGAGTGAGCACATGTAATCTGAAGACGAGTAGTGAGTACACTGAAGCATCGTTGGCCTGATGACCTACTCCTCTCGTGCATATGCAACGAGCGGACGTGCCGTTTGAGATGTTCCGAGCGCCCAAACGTCTTGCGGCAGTCCTCAACTTTGCATGTGTACGTCGTACCCTTGCGCACACCATCCTCCTTAGTAGGCGCCCGTCGTCCTCGACCCTTCTTCGATACTCCAGGAATGGGAGTCGCATCAGGGTATCTGCTCTGCGGTCCTGGATGGCTTTCCCATGTGATTGGGAAAATATCACCATCAAGGTTCACACATCGACGTCCATCCACGATGACAAGAAAGTCCTCCAGGATATGTTTCTTCCTCGGTGGCGGTGGGAGATATGTGGGTCGAGGGAGAGAGCGGGGTTCAATAGGCTCTGAAGTCGATTCGGCTGAAGGGACGGACTCAGGGTTGTCAGATTCCGCCTGAAATGCTGGCTGCGGGCGAGCCAGCGGTCGGGTAAGTAGGAACGAGTGTGGTTTGCATGACTCCGGCATGACAGGTGTATCATCCTGTGGTACATTAGCATGGAACTGGCTCGACGACTTGGTGACAAACAACGGCGCACCCATGTCACCGCCGTCATCCATTTGTCTGGGTCTGGTGGATCCGCATATCGAACCGACATCGGATCCTACTGCAATCCATGATTAGTACGGCTCTTCGTATGAGTATGGCATGGTTAAAATACCTGCTGAACTGAAGTGCAGAACTGACCCGGCCAACGTGTTGCCCGCAGCCGAGTGTGGAGAGCTGTGGCGGCTGCCAGACGACTCGGAACTGTTTCTACCTTTTATGTTCGCTTATGTAACACCGCATCATTACTGCTTACTTAATCACGGTGGTCTTGGGCTTACAGCAATGTGCAGAAAGATGCGCAGTACTCTCATGTTGACGCCGCGGCGCTTCTGGTGAGGGAGAGAAGGGGAGAGACGGGCTTAACAGTAACTGGGAATATGTGGTATCTACAGGAGAACCCGAGAGCATACTGTCCGGGTAAGTCTTTCTGCCAACAGGACTGAGCATACTCGTTGACTGGTGTCACCGCTGAAGTTATATCAATATCTTCGCGAATCTGGCTTCGTCGACTGTGCTCGCTCATATCCATTGACTGCGAGTCATGGCACGTGAGATCGTATCGTTTGTGTCAAACGTCTAGAGCGATGCGTAACCCCGACACTGAACGGTATAAATGTTCCTCCTTTCGAAAGGAGAGATACAATTCGCATCTCACAAGGATTTGCTCAATCCCAACGTACGTGCTCGCAACTCCATATCAATCACGAGCTAGTGTTGACTAACGCTTATGCATCTAGGTAGTCGTTTGCCATTTATCTTGCTAAAAAGTATGCCCTGCCCTATGAGTACCCCGTTCCGCATCGTTCTCGAGATGATCTTGACGAACGTCCACCGTGGATGCAACAATTTTTTTGCGGGAGTCACCGATGCCGCTCTCAATGGTAATGGGTGGCAGAAACTATTAAACCCTATCGTCATCCGGGGCCACACTGCATGGTCTAGGGAGCCTGGCGACCAGGAGAAGCACGGGGTCCTCCACGACTACGACGGGGAGGAAATCGACCGCGTTGTGTACCACAAATATCAAATGCAAGCCAACGTAAGTCTTGTCTTCAAACTGCTCAAAACTCCGGCCTCTCTGCGACTGTTATTCTCTTCCTCACCGAGCACCGTCTCTACCACGACAGTTTCGCAGCCACGTCGCGCCTTGTCCATCATGGCAGATTCTCAAAACGATCTCTTCAACTACACATCGGGGCGCTGGGCGTAAGTCTTACACATTCTATTCTATCGCATCTCTGACCATTTATCTCTATCGTTCAGCTATAACGACGCTCTTCGCCACAATAAGCGGAGGCTCGCTTTCGATGTCGACGAGCTACGTCGACTTGCGGCAGAGTCCATAAATCAAAGTCCTGATGATGTCGTCAGCTTGCCGAAGGCGGATTCAATCGTACCTTTATCATCACTCTACGTGACGCTCGGCAGATGATTGCCCGTATTCCGTACCCCATAACCGTTCCAAAATACTACACCGTCGCCAGCGAAGTTGCCACTATCGAGTACCTGCGTTCTTCTGGGTTGCCCGTTCTCGAGATTTACGGGTACTCGCCTGACTCGAAAAACGCCGCTGGGACCGCGTATATTCTGATGGAGCTCGTTCAAGGCTCCAAGCTCAGCGAGGCTTGGCCTGGCCTAGACGACCAGGAAGTCATTTCCGTCGTCCACCAGCTCACCCAACTCGAGTCACGGATGATGTCACTGTCTTTTCCTGTTGGCGGGAGCCTATATTTCACCAAAGACTTGGAGAAAGTCGCCACGGAGCTGGCCATACCTTTGGATGACAAGCGTTTCTGCGTCGGTCCTGATGTAAGGCTGCCGCTGTGGTACAGGAGGAGGGCAAAGCTCGACGTAAATCGAGGACCGTGTACGCCGTTTTTTCTGCCTTTTCATTATCGCGCTGCCCGAACTCACCGATAACTACAGATCAAAGCGCCGAAGTAGTTCTCAGAGCAGCGGCGCATAAGGAACTCGCCTACCTCAAGCAGTTCGGGCAACCGATCCTGCCATTGCGACGTGAGAGAAGGCCCAGTTACAAGCACCAGCGACAGTTGCCGTCGTACCACGTAGAGAATTTGGAGCGGTACCCCAACATCGTGCCCTCACTCGTCCCTAGGGACTCCAGTCTCAGTTTTCTGCATCCGCCATCCAGACCCCCAGCAGAACAACATCATCGTGTCGAGGTCGTCTGGCTCCGACTGCAAAGTCGTCGGCCTAATTGACTGGCAACACGCCTCTATTCTGCCCATGTTTCTCCTCGCTGGTGTTCCTCAATGCTTCCAGAACCATGATGATGACGTCTCGCAGTCTATGATGCCCCCCTCTCTACCACAGAACCTCGACAAGTTGAACAGAGCTGAGCGAGCCGACGAGGAGTATTTCTACCGTCGTCGCCTCGTCCATTACCATTATGTCACCAGCACAAAGGAGTGCAACCAGCTCCACTACACCGCCTTCACAGATCCCTTGTACGGGCTCCGCAGCCGTCTCTTTCAACAAGCTAGTGGCCCGTGGGAGGGTGAGACTTTCGAGCTAAAGAGTGCGCTAATTTAAGCCACGAAAAAGTGGGAGGAGCTCACGGGGGAAGGTTTACCGTGTCCCGTCAAGTTCAACGCTAAGGACCTACGCGAGACAATGGCGCTGAATGAAGACCTGAGTACAGCGGACAGAGGCTTCGAGCTCTTGCAGGGCATGTGTGGCCTTGGGGAGGAGGGCTGGGTGATGGCTGAGGGCTACGAGTATGCCGCGGCGTTCTTGAAGAGATGAAGGAGGAGGCGTTAGCGGGGGTCGCGTCGGTGGAGGAACGGGAGGAGATCATGGCTCACTGGCCCTGGGACGATATGGAAGAAAAGGTGTATATGTAACAAATCGAGCTAGATGCTCCATATCGTTGTATCTTTTCTACAACTTGTATCATCTATGGCCAGTTGGCCTTGTTCTTCAAATCATAGCCACGGGAAATGTCTTGCAAAGGAGGCATGCACTGATGTGTTGGAGTTCGAATTGTTCCCAGCTTTTACGTCCGCTTATGTAACACCGCATCATTACAGCTTGATTAATCACAGTGGTCTTGGGCTTATAATCCACTCACGCGCAGAGTCGAGGCAACGCATACCACTGGCAGCTGGGGCCAGCAACTTCAGATTTTAGGTGAGTGTCGTTCCAGCTCACCCTGTCGTGCTGGCTGATGGTGGTGTAATCCTTCCAAGTCTTGAGGAAATTGGAGTGACCCTTGTCATATTCGATCATTCGTGAGACTCTCCAAACAACACGGGGCCGACAGTGCCAATACACGCACTCAGCTCTGCATCCATCGACATGGCTGACCCCGCCATCCGCAAGCGCAAGACTGGCAAGTCTTCACCGTCCCAGAAGAATGAACATCTGTTCACGGACAGCAAACGTGGCAAGGACGGTACGACTATCAAGACAGTCCTCGCGGCAGTCTTGGTCTCCGCAGGCGTCCTGCTGTACATGGTACGTCGTACTCACTTCTTTCTTCTGATACATCTAGATGTCTTTGTCCAGAACTACGACACCGCGAGGTCGTTCGTGCGCACGCGACTCGGAAAACAGAGTCCAGGATGGGACTTTGAAGCTACGAGAGGTGGAGCTGTAGACTTTTCCGCCGATCTGCCAAAACGAGATGCCGTAGTAGCAGCATTCAAGGTGTGTACACTTTTTTGAACGATTACTGCATCACATCTCACGCAGGTCGTATACTAGCATGCATGGTTAGCCTATGGTGAGTTGTATGCACTACGTGATAAATTGTTGACGGCTGACGCAATCAGAGAGGGACGCAATGGGTGACGATGAATACCATCCCATTCGCAAGGCTGGATCCAACCTCACACAAGCTGGTGGGATTGGCTACACCGTTGTCGACTCGATTGACTCAATGCTACTTATGGGTCTTGAGGAAGAGCATGCGCGAGCGAGGAAGTGGGTGGCGGAGAAAATGACATTCGAACGCGACGGCAACTTTAACACGTTCGAAGTGCTACTTTTTGTGCGCTCTACTGGCCTGAGTATACTGACAGATTGATTATAGACGACAATTCGCGTCTTGGGAGGCCTGCTATCGGCGTACCACCTAAGTGGTGATCACATGTATGCGGAACGAGCACAAGATCTCGCGGACCGTATCCTTCCCGTTTTTAACACTCCTACCGGCCTCCCATTGTCGATGGTGAACCTCAAGAAACGCGAAGGCATCCCAGATAAAGACAATCATGGGCTTGTCAGCACTGCGGAAGTTTCGACTTTGCAACTAGAGTTCAAATATCTCGCCATGTTGGCAGACGACGATGAGTACTGGAGAAAAGCGGAGAAAGTGAGCACATACCTCTTGGGGTGTCTGGTGTGAGGTTGACCAAATATCTGGTCAGGTCATGCAGGTTATCAAAGACGCACGTATTGCGACTGGCCTTGCGTCCATCTTTCTAAAGTGAGACTTGGTCGCATACGCGCATCCTGTACACTTACACCATATTCAGTCCTGACGATGGAAAATTCGCAATATCTCCGATCCGCCTGGGATCGCGAGGTGATTCATACTATGAATATCTCTTGTGAGTCGCAAAGTACGTGTGACTCGTCTGATATAACGTGCTGACACGGACACCAGAAAGCAATATCTACAAACGGTAACATCTATGCCCTCCTGCATTTGAATGTGCTGCTGACGCACCCATAGAATCTGACAGAGCCCGTATATCGCGACGTAAGTGGGCATTACTGATTTTAGCTGGGTTGAGTCACCATACTCAGCGTAGTGTACAGATGTACGACGATGCAATGGACGCCATTCATACTCACCTCATGAAGACATCGGAGGCCGAAGGTCTTACATACACTGCGGAGATCCTTCCAGAACGCGACCAGCAGGGTAAAATGTTGGTCTTCCGTGTTTTTATACCACACATGCTCTCACGCAGCGGACTTGACCATTGCAGAATTTGGCGAGTCATCCCAAAACAAGATCATCTCGTATGCTTTTTCGGTGGATCGCTCATGCTTGGCGCAGTGAGCACTGGCACGGTCGGGGGAACGGTATCTGTGCCCCCGCGCGCTGAGGAACTCACTGCGCAGGGTAAGCGAGATTGGCTCTCCGGGACGGAGCTGGTGCGCACGTGCATGGCCACGCACAATACGGCGACGTGTGTATTTTTCCTCGCTTATTTGAAGACGTTCCGCTCAATATGCTTGTGAACATTTTGGTGGATACAGAGGCCTATCGCCTGAGATTGTGCATTTTAGAATGGCCGGAGACGGCATAGAAAGCAAACATGATTGGTATATCAAAGGCGCACGGTGGGTCGTTCCATTTCTCCATAGTGTGTATCCGCTAATGCTAGGGCGTTTAAGACCTGGATACGCTCCCTACGACGCGCGATACATTCTCCGGTAAGTACTGCTTCTAAGCTTCCGGTCCACTTGGCGCTCGCTCATTTCTTCGCTTTGGGTGCTTCTTGCGCACAAGTCCGGAGACGGTTGAGTCCCTCTTCATTGCGTTCCGTCTCACAGGAGACCCCCAATACCGCGCGTGGGGCTGGGACATTTTCCAGGCGATCGAGAAGCATTGCCGTGTCGAGTCGGGTGGTTATGCTAGTGTACTGAACGTAGATGAATTACCGGTGAAGTATGAGGATAAAATGGAGACTTTCTTGATGGTGCGTTGCCTCCTCTGTTCTCTGACTTGAGCGCAATTGCTCATGGGTCTACTTCTGTACTTCAGAGTGAAACCCTGAAGTACCTGTATTTGCTTTTCTCCGATGAAAGCGTGCTACCACTGAACAGTGCGTGTTCTTTTCCTGAACGTTCTCTCCTTCTGATTTTACTTCGTAGAATATGTGTTCAATACCGAGGTACGTGCTGTCGAGTTCGATACTGTGATTGTCTGGCTGAATTTTTACCTTCTGCGTACCTTTTAGGCGCATCCTTTCCCCGTTTTCTACCCGTCCCTTCGTACGGGCTTCTCATAAAGCGTCAGAACGAGCCCCGTCGCAGGCCGAGCGATCTGGCTGTGTACATACTATGCTTATCGATACCAGCGTGTTCCATGCCCCGGAACAACTCTGACTTTGGAAATTGGAGCTTGTATTATTATTCCTCTGATTTTGGGACGTCAGTGGATACCGAGCTGTCGCCGTGGCTTGCCCAATCATGCCCGTCGAATAGATAAGGTGAGCGTGCAGTGGCGGCTTTTTCGCTTCCTGAATATCGTTCACGTTGACGCCGTCCATGAGTCGTAACAGAAACAGAGAAGCCAGCAGAAGCCGGTAGCACCTGCGAATCACCATTACATATGTGACGACTCGGCGATAGCGACTTGAAGGTTCATCTGAGTGGCCTTACGTGGATGTGTTACCACCTTTTTTCTTGATGTTGGCAGGGCCCACCGTGTCGTACTGGTGGCAGGAACCTTTGATGCTATGCCTTCTCTAGAGAGTTCTTGTGGCGGCGTGACGTCAACATCTGATAGGTCTCAAGGACGAAACGAGAATCGTCTACACATCCCTGAGTGCTCATGATAGGCACCAAGTCCTCGTGCGCCGGCACGAAGTTCAAGAGCAGTATCATGGGTTCGTTCCAATTTAATGCATGAAGTCGTCAATAAAGATATATTGGGTGTACGAAGTGTTCGCCATTGACGGTGTGTATTGCGCTTGATCTATCTTTCAGCTCGACTGGATCGTAGGTTCGAAAGAAGCCAATACCGGGCTCAAGTAGTCCACGGAAGCTAGATACGCCCCGTACTCATGATCTGGTTTGACGACCATTATCTGGTTCTGATCTCCGTTTTCCTGGGTGCAGCAGAGTCTCGGCCGACGATACAAGCATAAATTGTTTATAACATTAATCAACATCGTAGCGCGTTGGACGCAGAAGGCTGTAGACATAAAGGGTATGGGAGCGAGTCTAAGGTCGTAACTTCGTTACTGAATATTATATCATTATAGTTCTGTCCGCAAATCCATATGGGTTGTCCCTTGGACAAAGGCGACAGGAATGTCGGCATGGAAAGAGAGTAGTGTAAAGCAAGACTCGGGTCCTGCTATCGCAGTCAAATGGCGCTCGCAGCAACCTGGGCATACGACGGGACGACCTTCTCGTTAATCTCATCGGCTGTGATGTGCTGCCACGCTTCGTCCATCTCATAGGCGATAGGGCTAAGCTCGTCCAAGACAACGACAGAGGGCAGGCTAGGGATGAGCTCAAAGTCGCCCGCTACAAAGACAGCTGATAGTCAGCATTGCCCCGCAAACTCGCCAAATAGAGAGCCCGTTGCGCACCTCCACGCCGGCGTATCTTTGCAGGCTTGATAAGGTCTGCCAGCGCCACCTCCCGCGCCTGCACAGGCCCCAGGTCCTCGTCCGAGCTGCTCTCGCTGTCGTCCTCCGTGAGCTCTTCCAGCCCGTCGTCGCGTGGGCTCCGTTCTGCCTCTGCGGTCTCCAGCCCGATGCCCCTCGCACCCATCTTCCTACCGGACACGCGCCCGCTCTTGCTCGTGCGCTTGGGGCACGCGTCTGCGCTGTCTGCGCCTGCCGCACTTTCTCGGAGAGCCGTCCGCCACTGCTTCTTCTGCTCGCGCTCCTGCTGCTTGCGCTCCAGCTCGACGGCGCGCATTGTGCGCTGTCGGCCGTGTGCGTGCGCACGGACGGCCTTGAGCACTGCGGACTGGTCTGTGTATGACGGGACGACGCTCAGCTGAGTGTCGGGCTGTGAGTTGGGGTCGGCGGGAGCGTCGGCCGAGGGCGCGACGGGAGTTGTGTGGGTACGTGAGGCACTAGGGGGTGCCATGAGGAAGGGGAGGTTGTCGGGTGAGTTCAAGCAGTTTACCGCTGATAAGCCGGAGGGCTAGCTTATATGCTAGCAAGTGGAGCGGTGGTGGTAAGCCGAGTACAGCCAGTCCGATATAGCGCGAGTCATCCCCGGAGGCACCGCGTCGGGAGCGCTAGGCCATTGCGGTGCCCGATAGTGACTGACTGACAGGGCGTCATGTGTCCCGGAGACTGTGGCTCAGGCGCAGACTCGAGCAAGGATAGACGCGTCGACGCGTGCCTGTTTTGGCATGCTGAGACGACGCGCCTTGTTGACGCGTTGTTGTCATTGTGGCGTACGTACGGCCGCCTTTGCTATGACTCAGGCTTCAATGACTCGACTTAGAGAGAGACGGGCGCCGATGTGAGACAAACATCCAGTTCATTGCATTCGTTACAACCGAGAAGTACAGCACAGCAGATTACAGTCTATTTTGTGGATACAGCACTTCCGAACGTACACTTCCTCGGCACTTCCTTTCGACACGTTTTCGTTTTGCTTACTTGAGCAGCGCAGGCCGAGTGAGGCCAGCAGAGAGGCCCTTGTCCCCAGCATACACGCCGTTTCCAAGTTCCTCCCTGCATAGCAATCCGTCAGGAAACCGAACGCATGCATAAAGACTTGCACTTACTCGATACGAAGGAGGGTGTTGTACTTCGCAACACGCTCGCTTCGCGCGGGAGCACCAGTCTTGATCTGGCCAACACCCAGGGCGACGGAGAGGTCGGCGATGAGCGTGTTCTCGGTCTCACCACTGCGATGAGAGACCATGACACCCCACCCGTCAGACTGCGCGAGTTGCGCCCTGTAAGATGTCATATTTGAGTAAATGCATAGCATATAGGGATTAGAAAGGTGGAACTGACGCTTGGATGGACTCGGAGATGGTGCCAATCTGGTTGACCTTGAGCAGAAGACCGTTGCAAGCCTTCTTCTCGATGGCGGTCTTGATGCGCAGGGGGTTCGTGACGGTCAAGTCGTCACCAACAATCTGGATACCGCTCTGCGCCGTGAAGTGAGTCCACGCCTCCCAGTCGTCCTGGTCGAAGGGGTCCTCAATCGAGACAATCGGGTACTTCTTGACGTAGGAAAGGTACAGGTCCGCGAGCTCAACGCCCGAAATCCACTTCGTCGGATCCGAGTTCGGGTTCTTGAAATCGAGATCGTACTTGCCGTCCTTGTAGAACTCGGAAGACGCAACATCCAGACCAATCTTGATCTTTCCTTCGTATCCAGCTTTCTTGATGGCCTCCGAGAGCAGCTCAAGGGACTCCTCGGCACCAGAGACATTGGGCGCGAATCCACCCTCATCGCCGACGTTGACAGCTAGCATATAGCCATCAGCAAGAAAGCCTCAGCGTTGGAAAGAGAAACTGCGTACTGACCGTCAATGCCGTACTTGGCGCTGATGACCTTCTTCAGTGTGTGGTAGGTCTCGGTACCAATCTTCATCGCCTCAGAGAAGCTAGATGCACCGGTGGGCAGGAGCATGAACTCCTGGAAAGCGAGCTTGTTGCCAGCGTGTGAGCCACCGTTGATAACGTTGAACGCAGGGCAGGGAAGGACAAACGGCGGCTTGACACCAGCAAGATCCGCGAGGTGCTGGTAGAGGGGGACACCCTTCTCCGCGGCACCGGCCATCGACACGGCAATGGAGACACCGAGGATCGCGTTCGCGCCGAGTGTGCCTTTGTTTGCAGAGCCATCGAGCTTGATGAGGAAGTCGTCGATCTCCTTCTGCGCGGTGACCTTGAGACCCTCCTTAATGAGCGCGGGCGCGATGGTGGCGTTGACGTTCGACACGGCCTTCAAGACACCTGCATGATACCGCTGAACAGGGCTGTTGAGACAGAAAAACGAGAGACGCACCCTTTCCGACGTAGCTCGACTTGTCTCCGTCCCGGAGTTCGACCGCCTCGTGGACACCGGTGGACGCACCCGAGGGCACGGAGGCACGGAAGAGGCCTTTCACAGGACCAGGTCAATTTTATCTAACGCTGCGAGAGTCTGAAGTCGCTGGTCACCTTTCTCGGTGTAGAGGTCGACCTCGACGGTGGGGTTACCGCGAGAGTCGAAGATCTACGCGACGATAAGATGTAGCGTGCACCGCGTACAGGGCAGGCATGAGGCACAACATACCTGACGAGCGTGGATTTTGGTGATGGACATGGCGAGCGGTGGGTGTGGATGGTAGGTACGAAGGAGGTGACACGGGCATGCAGGGTTCGGACTCTCGGTTTTATGCTCGATGGGCTGCTCTCACGTGCTTATGTACAGTACCCAGGTCCCCGCCCTTGGACGTCCAACCAGGACAATTCTGAGAAACTCGTCGACTGGCGAATATGCGACAAGCGCACTGGACTCATCGATGAACAGCTGTGGGATCGATTTCGTCGAGGCCGCTCGTCGGGCGTTCCAGCCGTGCAATGACGAACACGCCTGCGCTTGAAGACCAGTCTACGCACTCCAGGCCGGTCGAGGATGCCATAACGACCGACAACTTGCCTGCAGTGATGCCAGAACCAACGTCCCAATCAACCTGGTCGCCGCCCTACATCCCAACCTCGGATCGTGCCAAACTCCACCTCCGTTCCGGCACCGAACGGCGACAGAGCAGATTAGACAGGCGGTCGAGCGGCCTGATAGATAACTGGGTATGACTCGGTATCGACGTCGTTGCGCCCACTCAAAGTCCACCGTGCGGGGGTACGCGCCCAACCCTCTAGCAGACTCGAATGCGAGCAATCCGAAATATACATGATTCCGCAACGGACGAGAACGCTCGCAACAGCATGATAGACATCGCAAAGTCTATTCTTTAGTTTCTTCGCTTGGAAGAAGACTGCTGATATCAGATATACATACAATGATCATGATGGTCTTTTCTATGCCGCAAATACGCATATTGACAGGAATATCGGCTGAAGGTACTCGGAATTTTCAAGATTTTTTCTTTTGTCGACCTAGTGGCTGCTGGACTGTATGGCATTTTTGTGTAGCTGTGTCGCCGGCAACAGTCAGTGATTAGGAACAGCAAATGCAGACAAGACAGTATGTAGTATGCGCTGTACTATTTGATTATCGGCTCAGTGAATATGTCCGTGGGAACTTCTCGATTACTTTTTACTTAGATATAAGTCCCAGAAGAAAATGACATTAATCCAACCAGCTCATTTCGCATGCTTGTAATCCCCAGGCTCGTTTAATGAGAAAAAAATGAGATAGACTAGATTGGTATGAATTCCATAATTTAGCTTTCTTCACACATTTTCGATGTAATTCATCAAGTGACTCAGTTTTTCGATTTAATTAGGTACTACATCTCGAGCTTATCATGTTCTGCTATTATTTGCCGCCCAAAATGGCGGAAATGCGACACTTTATGGTCATGTGATGTAGTCGAAATTACTCTAGCTGTGTATCTTACTTACAATCTTTCGACCTTTAGTCGAGTTGTCGTCGAACTCATCTTGCTCACAGCAAGGCTTGGCCATGGCACCCGCTAAAAAGGCGGCGCAGCAGCCCAAGGCTCGCTCTTCTTCTTCCTCTCAGCCCACTCTCAAGAAGGTCAAGGGCGAAAACTTTTACCGCAATGCGAAACAAGTCGCCAGGTTGAAGATGCTCAACGGCGGCAAGGCCGTGAGGGACAAGGATGGAAAAATCATACAGGCTGCTGCGTTTCAGAAGGGAGAGGACGAGACGAAGCCAGGCAGAGTGCAGCCCGACCGGCGGTGGTTTGGTGCGTCTGCATTCATCTTTGTATAGTTCTGTGATGCTCAGCTCCCATCAGGAAATACTAGAGTGATCTCACAAACTGCCCTGGATCATTTCCGCACAAGTCTTGCGGGGAAACAGCATGACCCGTATTCGGTTCTCCTCCGCAGAAATAAGCTCCCTATGGCCTTGCTTGATGATGCGGCCAATCCTCATCTCCAAAAGGTCGGCCTGATCTCCTTTCATGGTTTGCGGCATTCATCGTGTAGATTGCTCTCAGCGCTCGCATATAGTCGAGACTGAGCCTTTCAAGGATACGTTTGGGCCTAAGGCACAGCGGAAAAAGCCACGCTTGGACGTTGGTACATTTGAAGAGCTCAGTAAGCTGAGCGCATCGGTGGCTGAAGAAGCCGACGCCGCGGCGGATAACGTAGGTGGGACATCAGGTACGTGTAAGAATTGCTGTGAAATATTTTGTGATGATTCATAATAGTGCCCTACAGAGCACCTTGCATCGACCTCAGCATCCGGAAACTTCCAGCCCACACACGCAGACATCATCGAGCCTATATATGCGAAGGGCACGTCCCGGAGAATTTACGGAGAGCTGTACAAAGTGATTGACTCTTCGGATGTCATTCTACATATCCTCGATGCCCGGGACCCGATAGGCACGTTATGCGAGTCTGTACTCGAGTTCGTTAAGAAAGAGAAGGCACATAAGCAGGTCGTGCTCGTTATCAACAAATGCGATCTTGTTCCCAATTGGGTTACCGTGCGTTCAGATCTACGTGTCGTGGTGATCTATTTGTTGCTTACCTTGACGTTCCGCAGGCGCGCTACATACAACAGCTCACGCCGCGCTACCCTACGATCGCATTCCATGCCTCGCCAAACCACTCATTCGGCAAAGGCTCGTTGATCCAACTCTTGCGGCAATTTTCGCAACTCCACTCTGACAAGAAGCAGATTTCCGTGGGATTTGTGGGATACCCCAACGTCGGCAAAAGCAGCGTTATCAACACGCTTAAAAGCGGGAAAGTGTGCAATGTGGCACCCGTACCCGGAGAGACGAAAGTAGACTCACACCCTTCCCTCTACATGTCACCATCTAACCGAGCCCGAATTACGCACGCAGGTCTGGCAATACATCACGCTCACGAAGCGCATATATCTGATAGACTGCCCTGGTATCGTACCCACGTCCGCAAAAGACTCACACACGTCCACCGTCCTGAAGGGCGTCGTGCGCGTCGAGGCGCTCGCGACGCCTTCGGAACACATCCCGGCGCTCCTCGCGCGCGTCAAGCCTGTGTACCTTGCGCGTACATACGGGCTACCGCTGCCCGAGTCCACGAAGGTCACTGAACCTTCGGCAGCGGAGGGCGACAGCGAGGGCGGGGCTGAGAAGGTGCAGGGTTGGGAACCGGAAAAGTTCCTGGAAGGGCTAGCGCGGATGAAGGGACGGCTATTGAAGGGCGGAGAGCCGGATCGTGAGGCAGTCGCGAAAATCGTGCTGAGCGATTGGGTGCGTGGCCGGATTCCGTTCTTCGTGCCTCCGCCGGAGCGCTCGGAGGAGCTGAACGAGCGGGAGGCGAGGGCGCGACGGCTGGGCCTAGATGCAAAAGGCAAAACGAAGGCGGCGGGTAAAGGGAGGACGGAGGAGGACGGCGAGGGGAGACCTGTGGTGGGCGTGAAGCAGAACTTGGGGTCGATCATGCAGAAGAACACATTTGTGGGTGAGGATGTGCGACCTCTTGAAGGTGAGGAGAATGCATCAGAAGTTGGTGAAGAGGACCAAGGAGGGCCTGAGGAAGAGGATGCCGTAAGTGAGGGCGAAGAAGTAGGTCTCAGCTGGAACGATGTCTTCCAAGACGACTCGAAAGATGCGGCGAGGACTATCACGGTATTCAGCAGCACTGATGAAGAGGATGGAGGTGATGAGGCCATGGATCAGGAGGATGACGAAGGACAGAACGTGTCTCTATCAGCGCAAGCTGATGTATCCGATGGCGAAGCGGAGGCGAAGGAGCCACGCATGAAGACCAACAAGGTTAGTCTTTTCATGAATTTCTAAATGTACGTGGATTCACCAGAAAGGATTCACAGCGCAAGGCGACGAATTTCTACTCCGCCACCAATGTCAAGAACAAGAATCGCCATAAGGCGGCACTCATGAAGTCTTTACAAGGTGGCGATAAAGATGGTCGCAAACGCAGGCGAAGAGCATAGCTGTCTCGCAGTGCGCTATGCGCTCGGTGATTGTGAAGGACCACAGGCAATCCTATGTATCCTTGTTAGATAGAACGGCGCATTCGTCGCTTCATCCCACTAATCCAGACTGAGCCTGATGTGTGTCATTGGGCGAGTGTCATTTTGGAACTGTATCTTTCATTCATGGTTCTCGGTTATCTGTAAGTATGGGTAAATTTGTGGGCGGTCGATAACTCATAGCCACTTCTGTATCAAACTATCAACGATGGACATCGTATCTCCCGACACAGTTGCCGACAAGCTATAAGTCTGGGTATCCCACTCCTTCCCGAAATTCAGCATTACGGTTTGGATGGCGGTGTCGTTGTATGCTGTTCCGTTCTGTGTAATGTCCTCCAGATACGTAATGAACATGTTCCAGCGATCGTAGTAGTATGTCCCGACGAAGCCAGCCCATTGCTTTGATGCGTAATCATTGATCTCGCCATCCGGGCCCCAAAGGGTGATCTGGTTGCGAGCATTATACTCGAGGTAATCGGCGTACGTGCCATTGTTGTCCGAGAGGTTGATCGCACCGAGGATCCAGTTGCTCAGCAAAAAGTTATCGTTTGTCCAGAGTAACGTGTCGACGTCTGAAAGAATAGTCAGGAGCGGCTGTCCAGCGTTTTTGACAGATGCAGCTGTTACACCAGTGGAGTAGAATGTTGACACGAGTTCGTTATATACGTCGATAAATCGGTTGGCGAGGAGCTGTCTGGTCACATCCACAACGTCATACATAAACTCTGGAACCGAGAGAAGGAGTGGATTTTCGGTGGCCGCTTGGACAAGGTTCTGCAACGCCGGGACGATCGTTATGTTCGTGTCGTAGGGAATCTCAGTACAATGATGTCCTGTGCGATCAGTAAGACCGGAGAGGTCAGGTGCGAGCTCAAATATGCTCTTGATAGTTGCTTGAGTGTTGGGGTCCGAGTTACTGTAGACAGTAGTACTAAGGATAGTCCAGGCCTCTTGTGCCGCGGACGGGAGATCCTGCACAGTGTAGCGTCGGGCCACCCAGGCTTCAACATAGGACGCGATGTCAATAGATGTGGACGACCAAGCTTGGTCGAGTAGGATATCGTAGACGATCTCATTTCCCTCTTGTCCCTCCGGCGTAAGACCCATACCCCTCATCGAGCTGGCGTTGCTCAGAGCCTGAATGGGACCGGTGACGAGCTCGGGAAGGTTGCCTTCAAACCCCATGTTTCCTCCAAAATCGTGCAGCTCGCACCAGATCCATTGTTTGCCGTAGTACGAATCCGTGCGCTGCCACTGTGGCGCAGCCTCAGAATATAGATCGAGGATAATCATGCTGTCATTGCTAGGAACAGCACCTAGGAATGCAGCGATCCGCTCCGTTGTCCAAAAGGCTTCGCTAGCGAAGAACAGCCAGCCCTGCATCATCCACACTGCCTCCGGATCCGCGGCCTGCAGGCTTGCAAACGTGCCCGCTGAAATGTTTGCAAGGTAGCCGACGTCTCCACTGTATGGGTCATTCTCGTTGTATTGATCTAACGTGTAGACATGTGAGACATTTGCGCCATACGCAGCCTGTTGCTTCGAGATGAACGACTTCTGCATCGTGGTGAAGAGTGGATCGAACGGCTCCAAAAATGTCGTATAAGTCAAAGTAGAAGGGAAGCCTTCCCATTGGCTCCCGTTCACGATGGACGCGTTAGGGTAGAGCGTTGACATCGCGCGAGGGACGAATCCAGTGAATGCCGGCAGGACAGGTGTCATTCCGAGTTCTACCATCCGCTGCACGATCTGCTGCTGGAGTGCCCATTGATCGTTGATCCACTGCGTAGGTAGCGCCCCACTCCAGCTGCCTTGAATATTTCCAAACCGATTCCACGCCTGAAAGGCAGGACCTGAGAGGAAGGACGCGATATCTGCATCGGTCAGTCCGAATTCCTGGAATACCTGCACTAGAATATATTCATATCCCACCCATGCCAGAGGCAGGTTCACGCCACGCAGGGCAAGCCAATCAAGCTCGAGCTCCCATTGATCAAAGTTCCAGAAGGCGGCCGTGTAGTCGAATGTAACGGTGTTGAAGTGGTATCTGAAAAAAAAGTGTTGCAGTCATGCCATCAAACTATTCCGGATCGCACTCGCCTGTAAGGCACAATAGCGCTTCCATTCACAGGTGTTCCAACCTTTGGAAGACTTGCAGGCAGCTGGTTTAAACGAGATCCCGTCCACCAGATGTCGACTCCGCCAAAGCGGGTCACGTAACTGTGGTCAGTGACAGTGTGTTAGGGAAGCGTGTGCAGATCGCTCCATGTAACTCACGTGTAAAGCCCCCTGGCGCACGCACTGACAGTTGTACACTCGACAGTGATACCGCCGCTATCACCTTCGCTATCACTGATCACGAAGGAATCTCCTCCGCCTGCGATCAAAGAGAACGTGAACGAGTTTTCATGCTGTGGGATCTGGCGTTGCACAAGCGAGTAGATCCCGTCCAAGCTCGTGGTGGCTGCATCCGCTAGAAACACACCAAGCGCGACGACGAAGAGTGGGAGCAACTTCTGCATCTTCGGGGATGCTGAGGAGGGCCTTCTGTTGGTTCCAGGATTCTAATATACCTCATCACTCTCGGAAGAAGCATCGAAATGTTTCCGAAACTGCTGGAGGGCGCTTCAGAACCATGCCAACTTCGCGTAGCATGCAGGAATGACACCCTCGGATTTGAGCCCATCCGTGACATCGGCAAGCTCTACATTAGCGACGAAGTAAGGTAGTCGTCCACTCCTCCACTCAGGTAATCCTAACGCCGCAGAAAAAATTTGCTTGAAGCTTGGCACATATGCAAAAACAATGACACGTTTGTCAGAACACGTCGTCAAACAAGACACACCTATTTTAGGGATGCCGGGCATTGATGTAGAACTAATTGAAGTGCGTTCTCGTCCCACGACTGACAATGATACGGCATGTGGAATTAGTGTTGGAGTAGACTTGTGTATGGTCATGAGGGGCGAGAGAAGATAGTGTGCGTGTAAGTATGCCACTCTGAGACGTCTTGTAATAGATCATACCTCTGAAGTAATTTGTCCTCCCAGCGCAGAGCACCGCATGCGGCCCTTTCAAATACTACCCGTAGCCAACCCGAGATTGACGAATGAGGGTGCAGAAGCGAACAAACAAACGATATTGAACGTGCCACACGTGCCACACAGAAACGCATGTAGCACGTTCGTAGATGTGGAAAACAACACCACCTTTCTGTGCATATCTGGCCCGCTGATAACAAACTGCTCCCCACTGCTCGATAACGCGGGCCGACCTCGGACTCGAATTAAGTCCACAACTTCGGTGGCTTACACGTCGTACCATGGCCAAGCAAACACCGCTAGCATTCATGTGAAGATGCATATGCTCACAACAATTGCGTGCACCTCAAAACAAAACAAAACCACTGCTGTACCGAATGGCCAACGTTAGATAAAGAATTATACTTCCAAGGATGAGAGTCGCATACCGCGCCCGAGTACAAAATCCCACAGCTTCCAGATAACCGGCGCGGCCTCGTGACAGGGAAGTATGCATCAATGATAGTTTTGTGTCAGAATCCTTCGCGACCGAGCCAAACAACATTACGATAGAATCAAAGGAGCATGTCAACGTCGACAATCGACAGGGTGGTTGACGCGGTCAGCTTAAACTTGAAACGATTTCAATCATCCCGCGATCGCGAATGTTGAAAACGAAGTTGTAGCGTCTAACGTCGAAGCCGTCGAACAATCATGATGAGTATAGACAACCTTCCGAATATATGAAAGTCCGCTCGGGGTCATTCCAACAGTGTGAATAGTAATACAGCGCAGTAATCTATGTGTAACTGATACAAGAAATGATGTTTGTACAAGTGGTCCCCAATGTATAATAAGTGAAGATGGAGCAGGCTCAAAATTTAAATTTAAATTTGAAGACAGTGCAAGCACTCTAGCTTGTTCGCGTCAGCTTGGGGATCCCTTCATGCGGCCCAATAGCTCGCTTAGCTTGATAGCAGCAAGCCCCTCTCTAAACCCCCAGTCCGACCCATGAGAGCGCGCCTTCTCACCGCTACTTCCTCGACTCACGGTATCGCCCCTGCTGAGCACAAGCGAAAATCTGCGCGAGCTACCTTCGCCCACAATGTCCTGCCGTGCTGTCACGGGGTTTGTCTGCAGGGCAACTGCAGGGAGAGAGAAGCGCATGCCCCTGCGCGCCGTATTCTCCCTCCTTGGTGTGGGGGGAAGACTTGACACCGCGCGGCTCGGCGAGTGCGTTGATCTACTCTGGGTGTGTGCATCCTCCGCCAGCTCCTCGTCACGCTCATCCAGGATAGTGGAGGAATACCCTTCCGATCCCACGCTGAACCGTGACCCGCTGGGACTCACCAATGGGAAAGGATCCCCATTGTTGTGCTCCTGGAAATCTTCTAGTATCTGGATATAGCTCCGCGGACGTGAAGCTGGCTTAATCCTAATCGCTGGAACAGATGGGCCGGCCTCCAATTCGTCGGCTGCGACGACCTCATCTTCCATTCTGTATAGGATTCGCCTCGGATTATCCACGTCAATTGCCATAAGCGCTGACGGAGAGCTGCCACTTCGATCGGAGAGCATGAGGGATGGCATAGATTTGAGGCCAGACAGCGTTAGGCGAGAGTGTATCGTGCCTGCCGGTACGGAGACGCCTTTCATATCCAGCAGTGGGAATACTGTTTCGTAGCATGCGTCACACGCGCGCGCTGGTTTATGTCCGTCCTTCGAGCTGTCATCTAGCACAAAGAATGTCTGGAAACTATTGGTAGTGTCGCGGAACAGATTGAATAAAACTTACTTTGCCCGAACAGCTGGCGCAAACACATCGTCCGCATAATCTACAATGATGTCTGCGCCTTCGCCAGCCGAATGTCCGCCCGCAGCGCATACAACTCTGCGCCTTCCCATCAGGTATCCATATTGCAGGCACAAAATGCTCGACTTTCGCCCTCTTCGGCTTCTCCTTCTCTTCCGGGGGATAAGGCAGAGCTTGTAGAGTACGTCGTAGATGATTGGTTGACGACGAAGAAGTCAAAGTGGAGTTAGGTTGCATCATGTTCAGCGATACCAACAGAGCCGACTTTGCATTTCGGATAGCTGTACTCCACTCGTCTCGTTCTTCCTCATTCGCTGAACTATGCTCAGAGCTATGCACAATGCCTTGGAAAGTGGACTTACATGCATAGACAGCAAAGGACTGCTGTGGACTCAATAGCTCAAACCTTCTCTCCTCCCCCGGTTCTCGCGCGGGCGTAACAACCACCTCTACATCCATCAAATCCAAGAATCCTTTATACACCCATCTCTCGTCTGTGCTGGAATGTCGCATCTTCTTCTTCGGGCTCCCATGCAGAAGCTTAAACTTCAGCATTGAATCCTTGCGCTTGATAGCCTCGACCGCAGGGGTGTCTGTATCACTCTTGCTGCGCGTGCGTACCAGAGGTGGCCGTCCCCCGCCCACGCTTATGGGGGCTTCTGAAGTAGCATCGCCATCCGCACTTGCGAGCCAGATGACACAGTCACTAAAGAGCAAGAACTCGCGCTCTTTCGCCACAGAACCTTCTAAGTGAAGTAGCGGCGAGCGCTTCAAAAATGTACGTCCAGGGACGATCAATCGAAATGGCAGGTTCGCAGTGTTCCGCTGCAGGGCGAGGAGAGCGAGAGTCTGTGCATGTGAATGAAGGGAGGCATTCAGGGATGACGTGACTGGAAACCAATTCGTATTTCAAAATTGCATTTGGCTGAGATTAAATCGCTTACTCTTCGAAACCAGCGTGTGGACTGCAGTCAACTGTGCATACTCCGGATCTTCTGAATTTGTGCAGCTGATGAGGTCCTTGAGCAGAAGCAAGTATCGCGGACACCTCTGGACGATGGTGAGTAGCCAATCGCGAAACCTGAGCTTCCCGCAGCGCGGATCAGACTCCTGCTTAGCAATAAATGAAGCAAACGTGTGATGGGTCGAAAGCAGAGAAGCGTATGATGCAAGTGCATCGGAAAACGACGTTACGAACGGTGTGTAAAGGGAAAGATAGGGGAAATGCGCAAGAAGTACGGGAGACAGGGGCGGAGGCGGGTCAGCTGGCTGTGTCAACGCAGATGTATCGAGAAATGCAGTGAGGGATGCATAAAATGAGCGGTGTAGGTTCCAGATGTCAATGAAGTTTGAGAATATTGACGTGAGTTCGGAGCGATCAAGCAGTTGGTGGGGCGTATCCAGTGAAGCAACGATGGGAGTCAGAAAGTGCTACACCAAGGCGTCAGATCTCTATTCAACAGAGGACCAAGTCAAGAACGCACGGAGTAGATCAGCTCCAGCCCATCGAGATACGACTTCTCCGTCTCGTGAAACTCATTGATCACCTTTCGACGCTTCGCTTCCCTCTGTTCATCGACAGGCTGCATATGACTCCTTCGGGGGGCTCTCCGGGAAATATCCAGAGAGGATGGTCGATGCCTCGGAGGCCTTGTCGCATTCTTGATGACAGCCGGTGTAACGACAGGCACCACGAAGCCCGGCGAGAGATCCTCCTCGGGCAACGAGTCGAACGACGCCGTACTCACAACAGACTGCCGATTGAGGTTCGGAGGGGTTGGAAGAGATATTCGACGAAAGGGAAGGTGACGTTGACGTTGAAAATGAATGTCAGAGTGACTAGGAGAAAGGTGGGATTCCGAAGAAGGAAAGTCGACCATGGAGGCCGGGGTAGAAACTGTAGTTAAATGAATGGCGCGATGCAAATGAATGAAATAATGGGGACTCACCTGCCGCCATGGGGCTCGTAAGTGAATTGGAGAATGGCCTAGCGGTTGTGTTGCTGACCGTCGTAGTCGAAGCCGAGCGGGTGGGACTGCTCGGTTTCCTCGGGCCATCCGCTCTGCCCGAGCTATAAATGGCAAGTCTCGTGGTTCGTGGAGTAGTAGTACATGCTCATCTCAATCACCATCGTGACTGAACTTATGTAGAACACCGAAGATGATTCACAAGGTCCATCAATAGAGTCTCAAGGCAACTCAATTTCGAGTTGGCCAACGTCAGATATTCTTACAGGTGCCAGAGCTGGCTTATAATGTTACGCGACTGCCCTTCGGAACTCTTCTCATTCGCGTTGAAATACGAAGCAGCCCATTGAGACAGCTGAAGGATTCTACTCGTCCCGTAAATGAAAGATTATCACTGCCGCTTCCATCAGACGGATTATTGCAGCGAAGGTCCGAGCCTCACCCTTACTCAATTTGAAGCCTTCGCCTACGATGCTGTCCTTCTCGGTGATTAGAAACGAAGGAGCCCCGTATCGATAGTGGGACAAGTCGAAAGGCATCCTGTATTAGAAGCAATTGTATATGAAACAGCATCAAACAACCAACTCGCCCTCGACACTCTCTGGTTCCAACCCAATCCGCTCAAGCACTCGGTCGTAACGATCCCGATCCACCTGCTTGAGATATCTTAGTATTCGTGCCCTCTGGTGCACGAGCCTGCGGAGACTTCTACGGTTACCGATGTCCTTCTTAAACTTGCTCAAGTGATCCCACAATTTCCGGATCCTAAGCGTCAGAAGCGCGGCTGCAATGCCCTGTCAGAAATCATTCAAAAACGGCGTTGTTAAACTACGCACCTTGGACCTCTGGTCTGCCAGTGTCCATCGGGTTTTCGGATTCTGAGAATTCGGCAATGATCCGCTTGCGGTTCTCGTACGCTATGCCGCGCGCATTCGCGTTGCGAAGGTCAACCAGCCTTGCCAGCGTGCTTGTCTTAAGAGCCTCTTCAGGCTCTGCTTGCTGATAACGGGACGTCACATCGACTCGACCACTAGATTGTTTGATCCTTGTTACGCCCTCCAACGTCAAGCTGGGCAACGTATCGAACAGCAGCTCCTTCTCTCGATCCCCAACACCAAAGTTGAAGTATTTGGGTAATTGTGACTCATCGAACGGAGTAGTTTCAATGGGAGGTATCGGGGAGGCGAGAATATCCTCTTCCGTGACGATGACCTTCGCGAGGTCGCAGTCCTTCCACTTGGCTACATCGTCGGGACGGTTTCCAAGGATAATATGTGGGCGATTCGCCTTCGCGAGCTGTTCTCTTTGTTGACGCTTCTCGACGTTGGCCTTTTCTGCGACACGAGACTTACGCTTGCGCATGACAGAAACTTGAAGAACAGCAGACGTGTGCAGTGACACGGAGCGTGCTGACCCCGAAGGAATTCCAGAACGCGAGCCTGACAAACCGGAATGTCAGCATCAAGTATGCAGGTCATACGATAGACGTCACATTGTGCGAGACATGCTCTAAGCATCGTCGTCGTTCACCGCGACCACAGTGAAGAACTTCAAGTATTAGCCCGGCTTCGAATGTTCAAGCGCCTGGCGCGCCGTAATTTCGTGTGTGACCGTGGGGAATACACTAGCGCCCAAAAACATATATAAAAGTCTCTTATGCTGTTTCCTTTCTCTCCAGAGAGATATGCCACGCTGCTCGGTGTCAGACTGCACTACCGTCGAGACAGTGCCAGTGACTCTCCTGAGTCCTGTCCTCTCAAGATTTGGCTACGGCTAAGCAGGCTAGGAAGTGTCGTGATTCATTTATCTATGTTGCGGCATGTCGACATATCCTTGTAACATTCATCCTCTTAATCAATCTGGTCGTTTTCATAATGCAATCTTGGGTGAACTTCCACCTGTGTTTCTGGTTGTCGGAATTTGTTTGCTGCGATGAAAATTGGGTTTTCACTTGCTATTGTTGGGTCTGCGGGTGTCGCTGACGGCTCGTGTGTCGTGCAGTCAAACGAAGGTAGATGTCTATGCTTTCGGTCAACATGCATATTGCCGTCTCAGGTTGGATGGGATGAATGGTGGTGTGTGATGGTGCATTTTTAGATGTATGTGGTCTGGCGCTGTATTTTTTTCAGTAGTTTTTGAAGGTTGACAAAGAGTCCCCAGTCTGTGTGTCTACGAGGTGCTTGGTAAATACGAAAGTGGAGCACGAGATGGGCGAAGTTGCTGTTGACTTACTAGACGTCGGTGCCAGAACTCAAAATGCAAGTCAATTTCTGGTGAAGTGGTTCTTCCAAATTACTCTGCGTCCTCGCCAGACTCATCCAGTCAATAAGTAGCTCTGCCAGATGGATGTCGATACCCCTCATTATTCAAGTCCGCAGGATTCTGAAAGTAGTGGCGTCAACATCGGGTGTACTCGTGGAACCGATGGGCATTCGAAGAATGCAATGTGATATCTGGATACCGTTCATTTGTTCGGTGCCGCGTCACACTCATCGATAGCGTATTCTGTGAAAACCACGTTGGCTGCTTTGTCTGCTAAGTCGGAATTCCTGCTGTGGCCGTTCAGAGCACAAAGCAATCGTGGCTTCAAACTTGTGGCCCTCAAAGACACAAAGCCCATGCCTCGGGCCACTCACGCACTATATATAAGTCGGTTAAGAGCGAGTCGTTTGCATTTCTCGTCCCCATAGCTGCTAGCTTGCCCCTTAGCTTTGACAATTGAAGTGATCAATGTCTGTTCTTACTCCCTCTACATCCTACCTTCTCGAGTCCACCATTTGTCCTACGTCTTTGATTTGTCGCAAAGATGGACATCTCATCTCTCATGACCGTCGCTTCCATTCATATCCCGAGAAAGTACAGGAGGTGGCTGTCATAATGTCTCTTATGCTTGTGGGTGGAAACTCCTCTACCGTTATTTCCCAGGTGCGTCATCTTGTTCAATACGATTGGTCTACTCCGGCTCATACTTCTTTCAGTCTAGCAACCGCCCGTCTACTGTGAGCATCAAAGCGGAACAATCGAAATCAGAACGTGCACGGCGGCAGGTTGCACAGAAGGCCCACGATGCCATGCGGAAAAAGTGGAAAGCAAGAGCTCTGAAAGTGTCCTCCGCGGAGCGGACCATCGCCAATTGGTTTCAGTCGGCCGTCATGGCATGGGCGTATGCTGAAGTGACCCCCTATCCGGATGACGTGTGGACAGACCTTCTTTCTATTGCAGTGAATCGGTGAGACGGTCGCGACATTGTACTGCACTTGTCGTGACATTTGTGTACAGTACTCCACGCCAGGTGCGCAACTGGTTCAGCGATAAAAGGCAGATGGATGCGCGGCAAGAACCACGACTGGAGATGCCATCCAACCGGGACATGCGACTCATTAAAGTGGACAACCGTCTCATGCGCGTACGGCCTGGCGTGTTGCGGATGTTCGACATCGCAGAAGATACATGGACTGATCTCCAGTTCGAGACCGCCTTGGAAGCTTTCGCTCGGACCCAAGAAGCTAAAAAGGGTGATCTTGAAGATGAACACGGATCGTGCAAGACAGCCTGACTTACCGGATGGGCCCATTCTACCTACCCGATCCTTTATGCGGAAGACGTTTCGTGTCCTTCAACAGAGGGCGCAGTAAATACCCTTGGCACAATGTAGCAACCATTCGATCGACCTAGTAGCGAACATCCACCCTTCCGATGGAAACGTTCCTGTGCTATAGAAGATGACCATCAAAGAGTATCATGCGGTTGAAATTCTCGCGTTTCTATCCCTATTTCCCTCAGGTCTTCTGTCGACATTTGGTCCCACGCAGATCATGGAATCAACGCTTATGCGACCCCATTCAAGTTACAGCCTATATTATATATCCTAGATACAGGGATCTGGTGCCCGCCACTTCTCTCAAGATGTCGATTGGAATCAGTCGCTTCTCGATATTCCACCCCTAGATTTTGTGGTTTCCCCGCTGCGGCGGCACATTCCTAGCATCCCGGGGAAAGCGTTTATTTAAATTCCTGACGGAGACGAATAGCAGTACACAACCACTCATACGATACACTTGTCATTAAAATGTAGCTCGTTTGAAAATACAGATACGTGGCTATTCAATTTCAGTACTCTTTATAATTGTGGTCTTTTCTTCCATCTGACCGAAAGTTTCTTTGAATAAAATAATCATCTGGAAATTGTGTATTAGCAGTGAGGGCTCGGGCGCTGTGGGGCCTTATTTACAAATATTATCTAAAGGTTTCAACGCCTAGCCACTGCTTGACCATTTCCATGACCGTGCTCAACAACGCGAGCAGCCACGCAGCGAGGCATGTTACCGCCTGACTTCGACCGGATGTTCCCGAGGACGAGGGACTATGAGGCTAAGTCTCGATTTCGAGTTCTCGTTGGTGAAGCTTGACGTGCATCGTCAATGTCTCTTAAGCCCCTTGGTTACCACTAGGTGCTTGGCACGACAAGTGGCCTCCCTTTATTACGCATTGCTCTGGCCAAAGCAATGCGGGGCGTGTGAGTCTACAAAGCTCATGGATAAATCCGATTGTTTCAGAACTGATATGTGTGGCGAACAAAGGAATCTGCCATATCTTTGTGGCAGACGTGCCACTCTCGATATATATACGCGCGCGCATATGCTAGTTTCCACCCGCTTTGTTGCTCCTCGAGTCTACTGACAACTTCCTCTGCAATCCAACCCTCATGCCTACTCACGATACGGCTCCTTATTCAACTTGTTATACCTGTGACTCCGGGTTAACATCGAGTACCATCTTCAGGAAAGGATTCATGGTCATCGACAACCCTCAGCTCGGCTCGTATCCCAAGGACGTGCAAGACGCTGCTATTGCTTTATCGCTCATGTCGGGGACTTCTACGATTTCAGCAAGCAAAGAGCCCTCCTCACCGTCACACAAGCAGCCTCCCCTTTCTGATCACACCCATACTGCACTCAATACAGATGCGCTCTCCGATATAGCCGTTGACCGTGCGGAGGCGTCGCGCATATCTTCTGTCCCTGTGCAAGACAAGTGCTCTTCTTTCCCCTCATCACATCAGCGAGGCCGACGTCGAGGAGCAAAAGCTCATAAGAAAGATTCCCGGAGAGACGCTCTTCGACAACAATGGAAGGAGAGAGCATTGAAGATCCTCGCGCAGCCCAGAACACAAGCGACTTCCGCTCAGACGTCTGTGATGAACTGGGTCTATACGGAACTGACACCATATCCGGACGATGCTTGGGCTTCGTGCATTGCGGTATTGATAGATCGGCGAGTACATGACATGGCTGTTACTCATTCGACGTTGTTGACGTTCGGTAATATACATAGTTCGGTGAACCAAGTCAGGAACTGGTTCTCAAACAAACGTCAATGTGATGCTCGAGATAGGATGAAAGCTGGTGGTGTCGGTGGTGTTCCTGAAGGTTTGGAACCCATCTCGGTTGATGGACGTATGGTGCGGCTATGGTGTCATGCGCAGACAAAAATCGGCAGCAACGAGCAGTGGACTGACCGTAAGTTTGAAGAGACTGTCGAACACATCGTTTTCGATTATACAGGAGACATTCAATGAATATCGCTTTGGTCTGCATCTGCGGTGGATCATAATTAACTTATAAGAATTTCCCATTGGAGTCATGCTAAAGTTATTCGTATTTATACCTGTTCACCGGTGGCCTCTGTTTGAAGTTTTTGATACCTGATTAGACAACGTTAGTTCTACATAATTTCTATAATCCAGACGTCTTGGACATGTGTTGTGGCGATAGATCGCTCGCCCGGCCTTTTGTTGTCCAAACCCGGCGCCAGCCTGACCTTCTCCCCGACAACATAAGCCGCGGCGCATCTCGCGCTCTTCAAAAGCTTCGATAATCTACCACCTTTGAAATGCGGAACATTGGATTTGCATTGTAAGTACTCGTGTTCTGCGTCTACTGCGGCCCTGTCACTAGCGCTACCTGCTCGTGCTAGTGGCTTCGAGCCGCAGTAGCAACAGTACTCAACCCATATTGTCAATGTGAAAATCGCACTCGGAAAAGTAATAACAATTGGATGGACAGATAGCATTGCGGTAAACATGCGAATGGGGGAGCGCGTGTAGTGGCAAGCTCAGTAACCTCCGCCAGTTCTGAGAATGGACGTGCTAGGCGGGACTCCGGATAACTTGAATCCGCAGTCGCTTTCTCGCGGGCTGGTCATATGTCACCGTTTCGCTACTTTGCGGCAGCAGAGTAAGTAAAGACTCTAACCGGCCGGCAAGTGGGTACGACTTCGATGTTGCCAAGAACGATTGTCGCCTTGCATGCTCTGATCGCAGCTGAGCTCCACATCTAAACTATAGAGTTGTAGCCACGCCCACGGAGCGTTGCATCTTTCTCTCCTCCTGCATCTTGGATCAACTTCAATGCGACTTTGCTCAAGGTTTCTATTCTGGCGAAACCCTTATATTTTCGGAAAGCATGACGTCTTACCTGCTCACGACAACCCCATAAATCTGCAGGGAGCTCAATTACCGCTGACATATTTCAAATTACGCAAGATTTTGCTTGTTGCAGCGATCTTGCTCATTTCTGCACCGGTTGGTCTCCTCTTGAGAGCAGTGGTGGATCATCTACCGAGTCTCTCCTTGCCTCGTTGGTTGGGTGGTGATGGTGGCCTACCACCGGTGTATTACAATTATCACCGCTACGAGCTGCAGTTGCCTCAACATAATGCCGACTACCTACCCATCAGGGAGATGAAGTTCATATGGATGGCCAACCACGTCCGTGGTAAGCGGTTGCACTCATCTCTCCCTGCTATAATTCTACCTCTTCATGGTTTTATTTATCAGGTGCAGGGTGGGGAAATGCTTTGCAAGAACTACTTCTGAACAGCTACCTAGCATATCGCTCCCGCCGTTCGTGAGTTGTAAACAATATCATTGTGTAGAGATATCGTCTGTGAGCACTATTCTAGGTTTGTTTTCGATAACTATACCTGGGACGAATTCAATACCCCATACTCCCTCTCTAATGGAGAACTGATACCTTCACAAATCCCACTTTCCACGTTCATTCGAGGTTGGTTGGAGCCGCATAATTGGATTCACGAGTACCACTCAACTAGGTTTCAGGTCCGACCGTTGGGGCACCTTTCATCGCCGATCCTTCTCATCCAGTTGCCATCATGAAAAAGTATTGGGATCAAATCTGCCCTCAGCCAAAGATTATTCACAATGAAGACATTTTGGCCTCTTTAGACAGAGAAGCAACTGCTGGTCTATTGATTGATAGATGGGTAGAAGTACTCGGAGAGACTGAAGACAGATGTGTGGAGGTTCCAGTCGACTCACACGCAATATTCGATATATTGTGCGTAGTATACACAGCATCTTTTCTTGTTCCTCACCACCTGATTAACGTAGCATCTTTGGGGACGGCAACCGACTACTCGATGCCTGGCCATCATTCTCCGCGAGTCCCATTATATCTGAGTTCGGATGGTCTCCTCTAATCGAACTAGCCTTCGACGAGAATCGTGATCTATTCTGGCCTTCAGCAACAGAGCCCTACCTTTCATCCACGCCATTCATCACTAATGCGGCTCGCTACTCTGTAGTTCCCGGCCTGCTCGTACTCCACATTCGCCGCGGTGACTTCGAAGAACATTGTGTCAATCTTGCGCTCTGGCAGTCTACCTACACAGGATTCAACAGTTTCCCTGAACTCCCTGACAAGCTCGAGCGTATACCTCCGGGTGCCAGCAACACGTCAACAGTGGAAACGTATCGTCGGCACTGTTTCCCAGATATCGGGGAAATCGTACGCAAAGTCGAGGATGTGCGCGCGTCAGACGTGGGGCAAGGATTGCAAAATATCTTCGTGATGACGAACGGCGCTTCGGAATGGATTCATGAACTCAAAGCCGCACTGGAAAGTCTTGGCGGCTGGGAACGCATCTCGAGCAGCAAAGACCTAGTACTTAGTAAAGAACAGAAATATGTCAGCCAAGCAGTTGACATGCTCATTGGACAAAGGGCACAGGTGGTAATTGGGAATGGAGTAAGTACTCTGGGAGTTGCGTATCAGACGATAAACTCACCTTGTGATTCGGCAGTTCTCGAGCCTCACCGGTCAAATCATTATGTTGCGAATGGCAAACGGGTTACCACCAGAGAGTCATTACTTCTGGTAGACTTGGTGTTCTCATTTTATTGTCTTACTGGCCAAACTGCGATTCAGGTAACATACTGAATCACATTCATCGCCGTAACCTTGTGGAAAGCTCAATGATTTGCGATATTAATGCATCATTAGCCATTAGCGCGACAAGTAGACCATAGGGAGTATTCTATAGAAACGCGGTATCGGTTATACGCCCAGTCATGTAGCGTCGTCCAGGACGCGCAATCCTTTAGCCTAGTAGAGGAATGTCCAGTATACCTAGGTACAGTCGCCGCTGAATTATACCACAAACATACGGCATCGTCTAGTCCATCGGCGAGCATACTATCACCACTACCAGAAACGAGTGCTGTTGGGAGACAACCCCATCGCCATACGCATCATAACGATGTTAGAGGTTAAACTCGAAAACTGCCAATGGCAATCAGAACATCCAACACGAGAGCACCACGAAATGGACGTACCCCGTTCCCAATGAGAACCTGTGCCCGCTGGCCAATGAGCATATCCACTGATTGGGCGACATATTTCTGTTCCCAGCTCAACCGCAAGTCCCTGCTACCCGTAACTCGCTCAAAGTGGCCTGTGGTCTTCAGTGCCTTCTTCAGCTCATCTACCCACTCCTTGGCGCCGTTCGTCATGATATACACGTTCTTTAAACCAATCCCCGCTGGCGTCTGTCGTACCTCTTCCACCCTCGCGACAATTTGCGCAATGGTCGGGAAGCAGCGCTTCATGTACAATGCCTTGTTTTCGTCTGTATTCTCACCCCAACCAGCTCCGGGTGGTGGCTCAAACTGGTCAGGCAGCTCCGTGAATGAATTGAACCCGTTCCAACGAGACGACCACCGTGCCAAGTGCATACAATGGTCGGCGAAGTCTCCGCGGCGGACGTGTAATACGAGCAGGCCGGGCAGCATCGTGTAAGGTGCATTGTCGCCGCTGAACAACGAGAACAAGGGGAAATATGACTGGAGACCCTTTTCGGGAGAAAAAATTGGGCGGTTTGCCTTGAACGCATCCTCGACGAGCGGGGACCAGCGAAATTGCGTCATGATTGGGGACTTGGCAAAATCGGGGAATATGTCTAGAGCACGCGTCGAGCCGAATATCCTAAGAACCACATTAGCATAAGCATGGCCGTCCTGAAGAATGGCGCGCACCATATCGAGAATATCTGTGCAGATTCCCGGTCAATCTCCACGCAGCGATCGGACATCGAGTTTAACTTCTCGACCCACGCATCAAGTGTTGCTTGTGCGGAAGCATCACCGGGAAGTGTGTTCGTTACTTCATCGCTAAAGATGACGGTTGGATGTGGACAGACTTGATCCCAATATTCCTTGATTACAGCACGAGGAGCAGGATCACCGGGGGGAAACGGAGAACCAACAGTGGGACCTTTCTCGAGGAAATAAGCATCCACATAGATGTCAATAGAGGACAGCCTTACCCTGAATTAGGGCGGACAAGGGAACTCGCGATGGAATTAATTTGCCGTTATAATCTGTATAGTCTGACCCGTCCCGATTCCATGTATAGTTATCAAATACAAAGCTACACAATAGATGGCGATAAGTAAGAGAACTTCAAGGCTGCTAGGGATGGACACTCACGCTCGCTCTGACTTGTATGCTAAGTAAGAGTTCAGAAGTAACTCTTGCATCACATTCCCCCATCCAGAAGCTGACGCCACGTCAGTTACCGAGAATATAAGCAATACATCCAAAGGAAAATCGGTGAAATTATTTCGGAATCGAACTCCCAGAGCAAAACAACAAAATCAGCACTACTCCAACATGGAATAGAGACACGCCACAGAATGAAGGTGGATAAATGCAATGATGTGACTGATGCATCAAAAATTGACGCTATCAGGTCTCACGAGCTGCGGAAGATCATATTACGACTATAGCGCCTTTCGTCAACGCGAAACTTGAGGAACAAATGTATGAAGAAAAGCTCCCAGCGTAAGACCTGTCGAACACAAGCCTGTGTATACCAGCGATGGTATAGGCTAAGCACGCAACTAGAGGCAGTGCTTGTCACCTCATTTAGTGCCAAACTGTGAGGGAAGGGGGAGGTGGGGGTAAAATATGGGAATACGGCTGATGCAAGAAGAATGAGACGCGAGTCATGGACATAGTATTGGGGGCGTTCGTGTCTGTCCGTACAGCGAGGCGCTCGTGTGACCAGCCATTGTTGGAGTAAAGATGATAACAAGACGCAGTGACCGGTAATGATTGAAAAAACGCACCATGAACATGATTGGCCATGAATAGAAACTTTCCTTCCCTCCCCTCTGGATATGGCAAACCTGGATCATGCTGAGACAATCGGAGCTCGCTCTCATGATACTGTGGATACAGAGGCGGGAAAATATGGTTCTCTGGTGGATCTGCAATGTACAGGAGCCCGTCTCCAACATTAAACCCGCGTAGAATGGCAAGAACTGAGAGCGCGACGAGAGTAAGGAACGCGAAGCGGGTGTAACGTCTGTTGTGCCATCGCAGCCAAGCGGGCCTAGTGCCCTGTCGGTCGTAAGGTGCAGGAAGGATGTCATGAACGGAGGGTTTTACATGGTGGACAAAGCGGAGCATCCTGGGCTTGTCGTCAAACGACATCCGCGGCCAGAAGATGGAGGGAGAGTTGGCGGGAGCGTTGCCACCATCTCTGCTCTCCGCGGACGCAATCGAGCCCAGGGAATCGTCTCAGGCAGTGCCGGCACTTCCCGATCATCAACTGCTTGAGGACTGGGCCCGGCTCTGGTGCAGAGTTTGGGTCTGCTTGCGACTGCATAGTTTCTCTCAGCCACACCACCGACCCTCCCGTCCGCCGCCCAAAAAGTCGCGCAACAATATCCTCAAAATGTCCAACGACCTCGAGTGGCTCCTTCTGCGCGTTCGTCATGGCTCCACGTCTCTCTGCATGTTCTGTGTGCTGAGACAACTTGTCTCTCACAGAAAAACAACTCCTTTATTGTGAAGCGGGTCGAGGAGGGCCCCGTCTTCTCAAAGGAGCCCGTACGTATCATAGGTTTCCCACTGCATCTAAAGCCTGAAGTCCCTCATGTGCATCTAGGGGAATTTGACAAACCTCCACTCGTACAAATACTCTGGTCTTGCGAACGCAAAGGCATGCGCTGGCATTTGGCTATAATTAATACATGCTGACCTCCGTTCATAGACTATCGATGTCAGGGACAGTGAATCTGGAATTCAATTGATCACCCGCAAGAAAGGCGCATCGTCACACGCCGTTCGCCCCGGGTTTGCTACTTCGACTATCCGTCCCCGCTCAGGCGGGCGTCGCGCGCTTGGTGTCGCTGCTAAGCTCGCAAAGCGCGGATACCGCCCAGATCTCCGTGCAGTGAGTGTCCTATTTATTTTCTGGATCTTCTGCATGCCCTCTGCTACGAACACCTCTCAACATCGACCGAATTGGATCGAACAAGATGCACCATCTAGAGCCCGCTGGACAGCCGCAAGGCATCATGAAAGTTGGGTGTGGACATGATGTGCAAGAGTACGTGGTCCGGCATGGAGTCGATCAAACTTCTGCTGGATACGCCCCATGTCGCTATCGGGTCCCGTTCGATGCTCTGCGCGGCAGCCCGACTCTTTGGCGCTCACATCCTTTATTATATTATGCCTGTCCTTAGGATTTTGCGTTCCAGTACGCGGAAACTAACATCATTGTCTACCCGACAGGCTACCCTTGCTCGCGTATCTGCTCTCCTCGTCGCGCAGAAAGAGAAGAAGCCCTCACCACCCAAGAAGGTTCGGGGAAAGAAGAAGACTGCTACTGCATAGGCATGTATAATGTTGTGGATGTCTTATTTGTATTGTCTTGCACGTTCTCCATGCACCCCATCATGTCCATGTTTACGCAGAGAAGTAATCTATGTGACCCACTATGCATGCGATTCTCTCATCTGTGTTTTGTCGGGCCACATTCAAGCGGACAAGACACCATGCTATACAATTTGAGCAGTCAATTTAGCTAAAAGTACAGGTGGATTGGAAGCTCCCTTCAATGCTAATGATACACTACGCGCGTTTGACTAAATTTTCAACATTGAATTCAGATCATGAGCTTCGGAGCTGGCTGGCTGATGATCCTCCCATTGCCTCCAGCCGCGCTTCGGTTGGCGTAGTCCTTGCTCGGCCTGTTCTGTTCTGCCTTCCTATACAGACTCTCGTTGAGCCGTCGCTCGTGCTCGTCTCCGCCATTGCCCTTCTTTCGCTCCCTCTTGGGCACGTCTTCCTCATGGTGCTCGTGGTGAACAGGCTGTTCACCAGGGGCGGTAGGGCGCGGGTAATCTGTAGCTTCTTCGGCGGGCGGAGTAGGAACTTTAGGCTCGCTATTGGAAGAATATTCGTCAGGGATGTACATTAATAATATGGTAGACACTCACGGCGGGGGGTGCGGCCGGGGCCTGCTTATCGACAGACGACGACCGCCTACTTTCACTGCCAAAGCAATCTTATTGAGTACTCGCGATGGCTGGACAGAGGACTCCAATCACTCACTCGCTGGAGGGTGTTGAGCCATGGTTTCGGCCATGGTGTTCAGCGCGGGGATGGCAATGTAGTGGTTAGGTAGATGGTATTGATAGACAGAATGTTTGGCACTGGAGATCTATATATCCCTGCGACGAGCTGGGCAGCTGACCTGGCTCGCCCAGGCTGGCACGGGCCAGCCGAGGTGCTCCAAGTTGCCAACTTCTGCGCTTGCCATCTTTGGCTGGTCACGTCTTCACGTCGGTGGCTGAAGGCGACAGTCCAATAACTTTGATCTCAGGACATTGCAGCCTGGTACAACAGGACGACAAGCAGTAATTGTCATGCATATATTCACAACCACCAGCGTCCTAGTCCTTGGAGCATTTCTCCCTGTCGTTTGTGGCAACACGGAGATCGTGAACTTCGAGATTCTGGAGCATCGTGACGTACTCTTGCCACAAACACCAAACTGGTATGTAACCTTACTTTGAGGAGGAAAGACTCTTTCCATGAACGGCTTGGAGGAAAATCTTCAGTCGTGCTTGGTCGGACTCGTGAGACAACATAAAACCGCAAGGGAGTGATAGACGAGTGCCTGATTTGTCGGGCTACATACATAGAGCCCTACGAACCAGGTGTATCCTGGGCTGGAAGGGTTTTCCTCATGAGTTGAAGCCTTTATCGTTACTGAACATATTGACTCATAGGACAGTCTTGGATCCCACGAACGCCGAAATTATGCTACGAGTTCCACCCGCACCTCTGCATACCAATTTCGAGAGCGTGTGCAGCTATGTCTCTATTTCTGAAAAACTGGGTACCTGCCCGCATGAGGCATGGTTTGCCCTTGACCTGGACAGTGCCGAATGGCAAAAATACTCCAAGTTTACTCTGCGGATATCCTGGCCGGCATCGGTAAGATGATACCACCATAATACACTTGGTTTCTCACATTTTCGTGTCACGTTGCAGTCCCCTGCCGACTTTTCCACTCAGATATACTCCCCACAATCCGTGCTATCACTTCTGTATGAGCGCAGCCCAGGATTGAGCGTGAATACTACTCTTCATGCGACAACCAGGCGAATGTATGCGCACATTCGATTGGTACACAGCGGCGTTCGCACCCCAACCTCCGATGGCCTGGCCGTCTCGAATGAGAACTCTGTGCCTTTTATCGTGATCCTGGAACCGCTTTATCTCGGGGTTCTTCCAGCCTCAGTACTGCCCACCATTCTACTTCTCACACTCGTCATAGCATGCACTGCATTGTTTGTAGTACCCTTCATAGATAAGCATCTGTCCAATCTAGCGAACCAGGCCAGGGAAGAGATAGTCTCTCTCAGCACACACAGTCGAAAGCGCGACTGATGATAGTACGTGTCCTTCAAACAATGTCTGCGAATAAATTATCGAATCCCCATCTCGTACAGGCCGACCGGAGAGTTGTATAGCTATATGTTCAATATATCACCATTGCAGGCATCTCTGGCCGCTCATCTCAGTCCGAACACAACGCGAACTTCCACTCGTACATGTTATACCGACATACAAGACCAGACAGACAAACGACCATTCAAGCGACCGCGTCCAGCTCCGGGAGGTGCACCGCGCCAAGCCACGCAAGCACAATCTCTACCCTTGGACCATGCAGCGGGATATTGATGTTCAGTGACTTTTTCCCTTTCCCATTCTTCGCCCCGGCAACCTTGTCCACCGTCATCTTCTCAGCCTTCTCACGCCGACGCGCTGCCACGGGCGCCAGAAGGATCCGCGCAGAGTCTAGCGATTCCAGGAGATCGACGCGGCTAGACGTGCTGCACGGCGATCCGCGCCCAGAGGGCGAGGCTGATGGAGAGACGTGAATAGTAGTGCTTGAACTGGAGCCATTAACACCTAGCGTCAGCGTCGACGTGGACGACCCAATGTCCGTGGTTGACGGGGATGGCGCGCGGTCAACTTCCTTCGCTTTGGAGGACGTCGACGAGGGCGGCGCCTCTATGGCGAGCCTTGCGCTCAGGTGACTCAGGGAGTGCGGCTGGTTGCCATTGTGCCACCCGCAGGCAAGGCGGCCGAGAACTTCCATGTACTCTGCCTGGGCCATTGAGCGCGGGGGCAGGAAGACAGGGTAGCCTTCTAGCCCATCAACTACAGCCGCAGTGTGTATGAATGTATGAAGGAGTGTGGGGAAATCGCCCAGCATAAGGAGACAAAGCAAAATACTAAAGTGCGATTCCACGAGTAGAGGGTGGTATGTCGTAAAGGTCGCTGGGGCCTCAGAGAGCTGTGGAGGCGTGGTCTGGCTTCCAGGGCGAAGAGACTCCGTCAGAAGGAACGCATGATCGACCTGTGATGCGAGATCATCTCCAGCTGCTGGGTCCCGGATTCCTTCCAAGGAATCAAAATGGCTCAGGAATTTTTCGTGGTCGCGCAAACTTTTCTTGACGAGTGACGTAACCTGTTCCCGAAAATTCTCATCGGCAAGCACTTGCTTATAAGCAGCCAGCTTTACCCCGTCCTTCTTGCCCAGCGGACCATCGGGATGTCCAATCTCAACACCTCCATAGCGCCCATTCTCGATGTAGCACAGCCTCAGCTCTGCGCCATCCACCGTGAGCACCTTGCGGATACCTTCTAGTTTCAGGATGGCCTTTTCGACGAGGAACACTGCGTGCTGCAGATATGCAGCGGCGCGCAAGAAGAGACATTGAGGCTCAATGGGATCAGGAGCGTCAGGTAGCACCGACGGGTGAAGGAGCAGCGGCTCTCCATCAGGCCCGTCAATGGTAGGCATATCGCCGCCAAACGCACTGGAACTGGTTCCATTGGGGGGTGCCTGCCCGTTCGTCTTGGCGCCTCCCGACTTGCCCTTCTTCTTGTGGCCCTTCCCACGCTGTTTCTCGTTAGGCATATTGTTCCGGTGCGCAATCTTTGCCCTGCGAAGCCCACGCGCTTCCTTGATAGCATACGAGAAATCTTTGACTGCAAGCGGATACTCATCACGGAAGCAGTGCACGATCCCGCGTGTCCGATAGAATTCCAGACGCTGCGGACAAGCAGCTATCAGCTCATCCAAAACATGCGTTGTCGTAGACTCGGCCAATTGCCTAACGGAATCGTGAGATTAGTCGAACGTGGTGTGCAGGATTATTAGACCCACCGAGAAGGTATCTTCTCATGGAAAAAATGAACATAACGCGCGTCGTTGTCATTTGGATCTGAATAGGTTGTCAACATACAAGACAGCAAGGCAATGTGGAGGAGGAATACACAGACCGACTTTGAGCACACGTTCCGCAATATCATCAAAGACACTCCCACCCTGCATCACCATAACGCTCGATGCGATCTCATCTGTTCTATACGCTGCGGCCAGTTTCTGCACTGCCAACGCCCGGAGTCTATGTACGCGCATCGCCGACATCGCAACATTTCTGCCACCGCCACCATCTCCGAGAGGATTGATTCCGAGCGAATGTGCTGTTGCCCACGGACTTGAACTCATTCCCGGACCCGGACCTCTGATAGAACCTAATGCGGCTGCAGAGAGCCCGGAGCTCGCACGTACAGAAAGTTCAGATGCCTCGTCGATTAAACGGCGGATATTAGACACAGAGCGGAAAACGCCTGGGTCTATCGGTGGTGGTGTTGCCTTGCCCGGCTTGGGTGCAGGGAAGGGAGGTGGGGCAGGGAGACTTGCAAAGGTGCTATGCGGAGAATCGGGAGGAGAATGGTCGCCGATACTTGCAAAGCCTTTATCGCGCAGCTTCTGGTTGGGGACGCAGGGGGGAGAGGGAGGTGGGAGGGCAGGTAGACGCGTGTCGGCAGCGGAGAGGGTGGCGGGATCCAGGTTAAGGACAAGTAGAGACTCGAGGAGCTCAAGGGGGAGTTGTAACCATGGACCCTGTGATATTGTTGTGGCTTTCAAAGTCAGTGAAGGCGACGGGACGTACATGGTAGGAGCTAATATAGCGCCAATGTTTGTTTCTGCTGATACAGAGGACGGGTGGACGCTGTTGTTCGTCCTGCGCTGCATTTGACTTAATACCGTTCGTAGCGTCGGTACTAGCCTCCTTCCCTTTGTTAGATTTCTTTGATTTCTTCTTTTTCTTTTTCTTCTGCGTTGCCAACTCTGTGTTTGCTGCCACATCTGGAGATATGGAGTCGGATGATGAAGGTGTGGCGAACATATCTTGACCTGAGTGGTCGACTTCAACATCCTGTAGGGAAGCCTGTTCTGCAGCAGACATATTGGAGAATGTGGGCAGGTGATTTATGTTCTAGTATTCTTCGAGCTGCAGGCAAGTCTCGATATTCAGTGAATGTAGTCGAGAATGCGTGAGAAGCGACCACATACCACCTGGCGAGGCACGAATCGGGTAAACGTTATAGATGCTGCCTTCGGTTGGCGCTTGGAAAAGAGCATCCACAACGAGCGTGATAACAAGGACTGAGTTTATAGGAAGTGTCGAAATATTGGCAGAGACCTACATTGCCAGAATGTTTGCGCACAGCAAGGTAGATTCTGCGGAGTAAACTCGAAAAAAACCTTGAACGATGTCTTATACGCCTGATGATGAGGTTGAGTAAGACTTCGAGATAGATGTAAGACACAACAAGACGTTATCTGAGGCAAGTGTTGTTCGGTGTGTCTGAGATGAAGGGAAAATGTAGGCTTGCGAGCGCCATGAACAGAATTGAGAACTCAGAACTCTGGTAATGGTACGCGTCGTGATATAATGGGTCACATGACTGGCCGCGTTGAAATGTTTCCTAAGCGCCCTCCTCCCGGGCCGGTGTTGAAGATCGTACAGACTCAGTGCGTCTGAGTTATAAATTAATCATTCACGTCTGAGACTCAAGTGAACGGAAAGTGGATGATCCTTAAATGATTCTGTACGGTCCAAAGAAGCGCATCTGGAACGCATTCAGGGATACTTCTATTGAGATGAGAATCGATTGTCATCCTTACTCAACCTAGTATACTGTGACTCTAGCCTCTAGTACTTCAGATCTACATGCACCATGGACTCTGTCGCTTACGGTGGCCCGACTCTGACTGGCTCCTGACTGGCACCATCTCCACAATACATATCCTTTCTGCCTCGCTCAGGTATGTCAAAAGTCATTCTCACACCTACGCGATGACACTGATACGATCTGCAATGACGTCTATAGATGGGGCTATAGCGCTTTGTATGCCAAGGGCAGGTGTTTTAGACACAGTCAAGGAAGGAGCCAAGAGCACTGTGTGTGTGGGGCCGCCGGAGCAATCGGCACTGGGATATCAGTAACAGTCCGTGTGTTCATTGGGGCAGCAGCTGCGTGCTAGGCAAGAGATATCAGTAAGTGACACTCTGTGATACTTGAGCTAATGCCTTTGGGCTGACGTCAGCGCGCGGGGCAGGGATAGCTTAGGCGACGGGTCATAAACGTTCTTAGTTCGGGCGAGTGCTAACGTTCATTTGGTGATTTAGTGCTGATTATGCGGCGTCCTTATGCTACAATAGCAACAGCCAGGCTAGTCCGGACCAGACGTCGGCCCCGATTCAAATGAGCCGTTGTGCTGAGATCCTTGGTCGACTCATTGCTTGTCAGCTGCTCGAAGATGCGCATGTGTACTTGGACTGAGCTTGCAACGAGCCGCATTCGAGTCTATCGTCCTATGTAGTTTGTCGTGATAGATTGAAATGCATTGGCTACTGTGAGGTGAGGAGTCCAACCGATCACAGTTGTTTGCTGGTCATAGCTGTTGCCTATAGACTACTGTCAGAATGTTCATGCGGATGAGCGCGAATTATACAATATCGTACTTAGATTTCTTCCATTCGATTCGGCACAGCGGCCCGAGCACGCGATGAACTAGGAAGATTCGGCCTTGTCTCAAATATGGGCAGCTGTCCGGGTACCGGTAAGTGTGACGCCGTACTCATTCATCACCTTATTCTTGCCAGATATCTCTAGGAATTTACTAGTAGCATGCGGACGTGATTTATGCGCAACGTACCCCGGCCGTTCGCCCGTTACAGCTGAAAAGTTAACAGAAGTCTAATATTGTCAACATGCACCAAGCTATCCATCATCGATGATTTCCATATGGGCTGACAACTATCGACCGGTTGGAACTGAAGGGGTGGTAGACTCAAAATCGTTTAGCTTCGGACTCACTGACTCCAGGTACCCGCACTTCAACCTTAGAATCGACCAAGGATATGGAAATACACCGAGACTAGCAAACAGTGGCTGAAATCGATGTCCTGAATTGAGCTTGGATCAGAAGGTATCTTTTCGCTTTTGTTTGACTCGCGGGTATGTCCTGGATCGTATAGTTCTTAGCTAGCACTCTCCCGGCATTTCTACCTTACGATAATCAGTTGCTCATCTGTACCGGCAGCGTGGCATCAAAGCTTGAAGAGTCACACACTTACAACCCATGTCGCTATAGTCGAGTTGAGGATAGTATTGTGAGTCTCGTCGAAGCCTTCGGTTTCTGTTTTTGCTTTCTGTTTTAGTCATGTGGACTCCATCACCAGCTTTCATCAGAAAATGCGACGTTCGAAAGAATCACACGATTGCTACACGACGTAAATTCGCATACTGCTGTTGAGAACAGATGGAGCAACTTGTGGCTTGTGATACTCCACAGGTAACACGTTAGTCAGTGAGTGTTGCTTTGCATAGTGGCGACCGCGGCTCGACTTCGGAAATTGAGGTACAAGCAAGATAAGAAATCCGGACTCGTCAAACGGTGAGCGAGCCACTGGTACTCAATCCGGCCTGCGGAATCGAAGTTGCGAGGGGATTCACACTTTCAAGTTGCGTGTCTTGTCTGGCACTACAGTCGCCTGGTCAGATACGGTATGATAATCTTTGTAGACATCTATATGAAAGAGAGCATATTCCGGAAACATTCGTGGAGCATCGCAGAGGTGTCCCATATAGGAGGTTGGCTTGTCCTGTCCAATCTTGCGCTCTCTTTTCTTTGTTACAATTAGCCTAGGATCTTGAGATGTGGTGAGTGTCAGCGGAGAGGGTTATGAGTGGCTTGGTCGGGTCTCCAGACATTTCAGAGACTCTGGTTGAGGTCAGAATGGCTGGGCGGGCGTGTGATCTGGCAAATGCGGAAATTACGATCGGACATGCTCAGGGGTGCACAGCTTGGACACGGTATGCAGAGAAAATTCTCAATGAGTTTGCATGACCTCTGATCATCCTTACTCTCCTTTACCAGCATGAGTGAGAACTCCCCTTCAAGGGACCTCATATGGGGTCCAGTCTTGATGCAGGGGCTGACGCAGTATTTGTTCCAAGGCCAGTTTCCGCCCACTTCCCGGTAGACTTTTGTTGACGTGTGTGTTCCCTCGTGGTATCTGCCGCTGTTTCTAGGTGTCATATTTACACAGGTAATACGCCATCGACAAGGCTGTTTCTTTCTGTGTATATTGAGATGCTCAAGAATGCTCTTACAACCTTCAGGCTCTCAAGTTTCACGAGCGTTCCACTCACGATCCCCAATTGCTTAAGCTTTATGTCGCTGGTCTGGTATTTGTCTCAGTGTGAGTTAAATTCTCTTTTTCTGATCTCGTTCATCATCCCCCCCTCCTTGTAGATTTCAGACTGCAATTGAAAGTTACAAAGTATGGCTCAACTTTGTTGATCAGATTGTCTTTGTATGCGACATTCGTTGTACTCTCCACTCGATCTAATTTCATCTGCGTTCTAGTGGAGAAGCCCTCTTCATTCTGCTGAGTTCTTCATCAACGGATTCATTTGCACGCTTTGCGAGGCTTTTCTCCTCATGCAATGCTGGAAGGTGGCTCATCAATCTGCTTCAGCATTGACGTCCACTAATAGGGGTTCAGTTAACTAGACGAAATTGGTGGGTGCTTAGCTTCTTGACGGTTTTAACTACGGTGACGTTCTTCGCGAACATTGCTATGGTGAGGAGGTTTGTGCACCGCCTTTGTCGTTATCCTGATGACATGTCACTCTAGACTGTCAAAATTGCCCAGGTTTCTGGGGATGTATTTGCGCGAAACGTGAGTCTCACCATACCGTTCCAAAACATAGGTTAATGATGCGCGTTCAAAAGCCTTTGAAAGTCAGCCGATGGGCATTTCCAATATGGGTTTATGGCTCTCTCGCTCTCTCGCTCTCTCTGACAATAATACGTACGTTTTCCAGAAATAAGACGCTGTTTTCCCCTCAGAATTGGACAAATAATTTTACAGTGTCTTTTTGCCTGTGGAGACAAAGAACCGGCGTGGAGTACCTTGACAAAACAATCACATACGTTATCACCATCACTTGGCAGTCTGCTGCCTTACCCTGCGTGTGCATGCTCGTTGGAGCAGTTCTTGTCGCTACTGAACCGGTAAGTTTCATCGATCTTATTGCCGATTCCCTCGCGGTTCAGGAGTGACCTTTGGCCTTTCTCCAGCGTGGTGCAGCAAACTTGAGCATTCTCTTCCTGGTTAGCACCGGGAAGCTCTTTACCATGGGAATTTTGTCTACGCTCAATTCCCGTGTTGCCGTTCGCAAGCGGATCTCCATTCAGCTAGGACATCCCTCATGGAGTGACGGGCCACAATTTGCGACTGGGCAGTCACAGACAGGAGAGGGAACGGCGTTCACAACTGAGGTGCGTATGCACAAGCATGTACAACCCTGCTCCATCCTTCAACTCTTTGCAGGTGGGGCAGAGAAGCCTTAACTCCCGATTCCGCTTCCACAGATGGAACAGGACTATTGATCCAGAGGCAGCTGCGAACCAAGGCTCACAAATTTCACGGACTTCCAGTGGCTTGACAATAGCCCCGCCCACGCGGCCACCAGAAGCACTGATCACATAGGCTTCCGTTTTCGACCCATGTTTCATCATTTTCTTGTCAAGGCCCGGCGCGATTATTCGCGTTGAACATTACGGTAACGCCATTTGAAGCGACCCGTGGTCTGCGAACTTTTAGCATAGCACAATCGGTCTTGCGCCTCTGGGCATGCATTAGTATTGCACACGAGAGCACGATTGGAGCATGAATTTAAGATCCAGGTCTGTCTCTGCACTGCACATTGCGGATCGGCTAATTACGACATGTGGACTTGTAGATCTCCTCGAATATTTCTCAACCGCATCATAGATCCAGGGGCCGAAATATTTCGGAAGACTTGAGGCTTCAAGCTCAGTGGAGACCCAAAACACGTCCATGTGCAAGCTCGGGATAGCGGCTTTCACATATCCCTCGTTGATGAACGGCGAAGTCTTGAGTGTCTCTCCAGCATTGACTACGAATGTGTACGGCTGAGCTCCCTACCTGTGACATTATTTTGAAAATCTTCAAATTTTTGCACCGGATCTACTCTGCCTGTGGTGGAACTCTAATCAAGAACTCAAGGTTATTCCAGTCTTTGCACACGGCGAAATGCTGAAATTGCAGATCACAAGTCACTGGAAAGGCAGCCTCGACTTTCAAGATAGCGCAGATGGTAGATTTGATACGAAGAAAGTGTGTCATGTGGGGGTGGGGGTGGGACAGAGCGAATCAATATCGATCTCAGTTATATCTTACTGTCTCACGTGTCTGGAGATTTCGTACAGCTCATCTCGGCGCAAGAATGGGGGCCGCTATGTAAGACAAGATGGCGGCGGTCTGGAGGAAAATCAAAGGGAGATTCGTTGACGCATCCCGCGCTTCACAAACCCCAACCCTAAATATAGGCAACTCCTCTATCTCCAGCGTGACGTCATTGCTATAGTCCTCCTGACGTCGCTTGACCTTGCTATGCGCCTATATATTAGATGAGGTCGAAACGAGAATCTTCATCTCGACTCTGCATTCACCCCAACCCAATACCGAAACTCCAATCCAGAATCATATCATGTCGTCCGGTGCCATGCAGTCCAACGTTGGTAATCCCCAGGTCTACAACGACGGTGACCAGAGGTGTGCACTGCTATCTAGATAATTGAGCAGTGTTGTGATGTTTGTACTCACGTTAGGCCCCACGGTGAGCAACCACCAGCGCCCTTTGAAGCTGGTCAAAGACACGCTCACGACATTCACGATCCAAAGTGAGTGAGCTGTGTTGCGTCTTTTTATAATCCTCAACATATAGCTGTAGAGACGATCAGACACTGGACAACAGACGAAAGCGCGAACGAAAGCAGGAGCGTGATGCCGAGCACAAAGCGGAATTGGGGACAGTCACTGACCCACTCGAACCCGCGCGGAGGCAAGGCCACGAGCCGTCGCGGGGAGCACAGATTGACGCAGAATTGCAGCAGGAGGATGAGGAAGCCATGCAGAAGAAAAAGCAGCAGAAGGGATCGTTCGGTCCTACAAAGGGCTTGTCGTAAACCTTGGCGACTAGGCGCTGCATAGTAAGATATGAATGACCATAAGCATGTAGCAATCTACCGTGTTCAACGCGATCGACATGGGTAAAGGACACAAACGACCCGACTATATGCCCGTAGCTTGAATGGCAGAGCCGTAAGTTTAGCTTCGCTCGTAGTAAACGACGATACCTCCATCAAGCTCGCCTTCAGCATTTACCCAACTCAAGAACGTCTATACACAACTATACGTTCTCTGTCCTTATGACTCTCGAGGCTGACAGCGGGTACTTTGTCGACTACTTTCCCCCATCCGTCTCCGAGAGCCACAGCATAGTGATCTGGTAAAACGAAAAACGGGGGGCCGACACCCTCGGGCTGATCGTCAAGAGGGAATACAAGTGTGATTAGATAACCACCGGGCTTGATGAGCTGGCGCATTTGCTGCCCCCACTCTGGGCGCCGTGCAGGCGGGATGGCGACAAAAAACCTGAAGGGTGCGAGATTATGAACGTGAGAGTAGAAAAGATGGAATTCAAGGCTTCTCACGTGTAGTCATACACCAGATCAAACCGCTCTTCTTCTGATGTTGTAAACGTGAAGAAATCGTCGGTCGATATAGTGATCTTGATGCCAGAGGGGAGATCGGAAGATTCTGCAAGACTAGCAGTAGACACATGGCGGGCACAAGCCCGAAGATTGGGATCACCAAGATTTATAACTCGGTACTAGTTGGACGTACGCGTTTGCAGCAGCAACAGCAGACGGAGATATGTCCAGCCCTATAGTTTCCAGCCCGAGTGTCGATGCGATGAGGATGGTGTCATACCCCTAACCACAACATCAGTCGAATCAGTATCGCTGGAATACAGATGGGGACCTACCCGGCCACAGCCTGGAACCAGAGCACGTCCAGATTTAGGCAGGTTCAGCTCTCCGGAAGCGAGCAGATCGCGCAGGGGAGGCTGCGACTGCCCTGCATCCCATGGCGTCACTTTCTTCTGCCTGTCGGTAGAAAATCCTCCGCTTTAGCTACCACATCAAAACAGATAATGCGCATCAAACTACATACCAAGCCTGGTCCCATCCGGCGAGGGGGTCTTGTGCGATAATCTCGCGGAGGCGTTCTTGCTCGGGACTTGGTAAGAGAGACATGGTTGAACATGAGAATGCTGTTGCAGAGCAGAAGGTTTGAACTTTATACCAGTGAATTGCCTTACAAAGACAACTGTACTCGTGACTTCACAGGTACAATGTAGCACTTCCAACGTGCGTAATTACGGCGATGTGCCGTAACAACTGAACTTATCCTTCGTCAATTCAATTCTTCAAGCTTCTCCTATACAGTAAAGCTCGATAAGAGATAAAAGGGCAGAAAGCAACGAACTCAATAGTAGGCCTGGGTGCAATTGATGCTCAAACGTGACTTCGATTAGAAAGCAGTGGCAATAGAACAGCTGCTAATCACTACGGATTGACCATGGTACAAGGTGTAGTTGAGGTAGGATAATTGGCACCAGCGACCCAGGGGACGAAAATCACGGAAGCGCATTAACCTGGTGGCAATTCACGAAAATTCCTATATGCCGCGAAAGGTCAGAATAGCGCGACTACAGATCTACTCTTGAGCACATACCACACAAGTTCCCTCCCCGCTGCCACGGTTCTGGCAAATTCGACTCCACTGAAGATAATGGTTTGAAATGAGCTATAAGTTCCAGACAAAGATTTCGCCGTCTCTGGCTGACTTCACGCTCCTATAATATGCCGACGTGAAACGTGGACATTTACCATTGTAAATTTCATGGCGAGACATGTACAAGGATAGAGGCTGCCAGCGGCGAGTTTTACAGCGAGCTATGTATGCCGCGATGTTTGAAGTGATTGTGGAACTCACGTGCTCATGTCGCGCTTGTGGCGCAGGAAATCTGACGTTCACAATTTCCTGATGTCCGAGATATCATCAGCAATCCTCTACAACCCTTAACCTTCACCGTGACTAGCCATGAACATGCGCAATGGTAATACGTCTGTCTTGCTGAAGCTATGCTGCTCTACATTTGTATCGTCGATCATAGGATAGTACGCAGCGGCCTACCAGTAATATCGCACATCGAGTCGGACTCAGATTACCCTGCATGGTCATCTCCGCCAATGAAGGGCTCTGCGCGTTGCGCGCTTCAGATTGTTGCTGGTCTCGCACCCAGATTTTTTTGAGGAGATGGCTAAAGGCTGACTTGTTGATAATATGGTGTTTCAGCGTCGTCACCGCTTGGGGAAACTGATAGCGACAAGAGACAAACAAGAGGCGGTATGTGGTGCTATGGTGGAATTGGGAAGATCAATGCCTGGGGTAATACACGGCGTTCACTCTCTGCTTGTTTTCGCGCAATCGGCTTCCACCCTTGCCAAGGAGCATGAAAAGGATTATCATGACCTTGCGTAATGCTGTGACTGGATGGACGACTATCGTCATCTCGTTCAGGCTTGCAACACTGGGCATTCCTCCTCCTCCTCCTCCTCGAACCTGAACGTATGAAGCAAATCCGGCCACATCATCAGTGGTCTGGTGGTCTCGATGGTTCGAGTCGAGGTGACAAGTCAAGCGCCACGAATATAGGCTTTGGCGCTCCGTCGCTTTACGCGCACCTTCACATAAATTGGTCCAATTGTGTCTCAGCTTGCGCCTTGCCCACTCTTGTCGCGGACTCGCGCCGATTCGCGTTCATATTATCTTTCTGAAGTCTACTGTGTGCTTGGTCTATGTGATACCCGGGAGTTGCTGGCTGTGCACGCCATCCACTGGCAGCTGCTGCCTGCATCTCACTAGCAGAAGAACTAATCTAAACCAGCTTCATCGACCCTTGACTGGAGGTACCTGCCACCTGAACTTACCCAGATAGAAGCATGCTCTGTTGCGCCAACACGTCGAGGACAAGGTCAAAATGAGTAAGCGTCGATCATACATGTGGCAGACACTACAAGCCTCTCCAACTCAATGCATCACCATCTCACTAATCCTTTCTATACATACACATAACCAATCTGATCACGCAGCCATCATCAACGACCGGTCTACGAAGCGTCAAAGGCGACGATGCATCTACAAACAAAACACTCACTTCAACAACTCACATTCAATTCTTAACAAACTTGATATATCCAATGCCCCCCGCAGTCCCCGTGGTCCGTGTGTACGTATTCACCTTATTGGTAGGGTTTGGAATACTTGGGTTGCTGGTGACGATGGTGACACTCTTGTGATTGTTCAGGCTCTCCTGCAGCCATCCCTTCAGTGCAGCCGCGCCCCACTGCACATACTTGGCGTCCGTCTTACGTGCCTTCGCTGTAACATTCAGGTGGAAGTACGTTCCCGTGTCGTACTGCCCCTGAAGGTTCGCCATCCACTGCACGCCGACATTCTTTCCGTCCTGGAACTCGATGTCAAAGTGCGTCTGCAGGTCGATGCGGAAGAGCGTGCTGCTCTTCTCGATGGCCTTCCGCAGCTGCCCAGTTGGCCCCGTCTTGCCCTGGTCCTTGAACGCCTTTTCGGCGTCCTGGATCGTCATATTAACGATGTTGCGACTGCTCGTCCATGCAATGGCGGGGTCAACCCACTGGTTGATCAGGCCTTGAAGGAGGATCTTGATGTCGTCGTTCGTGGCTGTCTGTATGGCATTTTTGGGATCGGGAAGTGTCCAGGGCTGGGGTGCCTTTCGCGCGCTGAATTCGACTTCTTCAAGGGATAGCTCCGCAGCTGCGGACACCGTCTCCTGAGACAATGATAAGTCCAGTCTCATTGGATCTAGGATATAGCGTACCTGAGAGTCTGACGCATCTTCATTTCCAGCCTGAACGGTCTCTGTGTAGGTTGGTGAAGACATAGTGGACGTGGTGTGTATACGGAAGTGTAAGAGGTAAGATGCTAATCGAGAAAGGACGTGGCCGAGTTCTTATACCTACCGTCCTCGTCTACGACATTCTTTTGTAGTCACGCTTTACCAATCACGACGACACCGGTCGTTGGATAATCTCCGCGACATGGTATGGAAGACTAGAGAATAAGACACGAGCCATCGGAAGGTACCTTGCAGCGCGACAGAATACATGGACAATTCGAGCTTTCCCAAGGCGGTGTTAGGATACATACTTGGAGACGAGTCTTCCTATAGGTCAGTCTTAACTTCTTGTCGCTTCGGGTCGTGGAACACCAATCATTCAAGCTCGATATTGAAGCGAATTTTATCACGCCCTTCGTCCAACTGGGGGCAATCTTGTCAAGTGCAATCGGAAGGGTCAGATTAGATCGTAAGAAATGCTTTCGAAAATATCACCCTCCGAACAGATGTCCTTATGAAAGGCGTGGCTCCAAAAACACGACTTTGGGGCTGTTAAATTCTAATCACACAGTTTGGCAGCGCTTATGTGACCACATGTTCATCCACCTGCCGTCAGTTTCACAACGAGGATTCACAGAAGAGTCGCATTCCCGCCCGTCTCTTGAACTTGAATGGAAGACGAGTTTCCGCACGTGGTCACTTGCGCTCGGCGTGCCCATGCGCCGATCCTCGTGCATGATGCCAGAGCACAAAATGGCCCCGACTTGTCCCGGATGAAGTGAAGTCAAGACACGCGTACATTTGGAATAGAACTCTTGATATCCACGGCAAACAATTCTTCCTAAACGATGGAGTACGTCAAAAACAAGCCCAAACAATGTGATGGGAAGTCAGCAAACCGGCGCAAGCGGCGTAGGGTAGATCCACAGGCTGGAATATAGCCGTCTTGCCCGCGGGCAGGGCGCAATGCGGACGAAGCTATGAAGACGGTACGTTCTTCCCGCCAACCTGGGTTTTTACATAGCTATCTGTTGAAGAGAGTATGGATGCAATGAGTCAATTGCTGTCACATTGTCAGTCTCCACAGACCCTATATGGAGCGACAAGAGCCTCGTTATATGCGGGATTTGCAGATGTTCCCTGAGACGTTATACCGTTTACATGCAGCCTAGTAATCATACTCCAATTTCAGGATCTCGGTTGCACAAGCAGAACATGCATCTGTACAACGAACCATTGGGCTACAGGATGGCTGCACATTTGAGTAGCTCTCCGATGCTTCAACGAGCTTCATGCCAACCATGAATCACGAGTCAGCTCCATGCCGTTGAGCGTTCCAGCCTCAGGGACAAGGCACAGACAGCGACGAATGAACTGTTCAGCCACGTCCATCTTTTATCAGACAAAACTCTAAGAGCTTGCAGACTGGCCACGTCCGCTCCACAATGGTGAATGAAGTGAGTGAAGCGGCTTAACGTGGTATGCTAAGCACGTGTATGTGCGCAGATTGTAATGAGAGGGCATACCATTGCCGGTGAAATCTTGTCCTTGTGCTCGCATTTGTTGAGGAATTTCATGTCAAAGGATATGTTGAGCGCTTCAGTCATAGATGCCTATGTCCTGGCTTGCGCTCTATGGGATAACGATTTCTGTAGGAATGTCCCACTTGTATCCTAGATTTAGGTGTTAGATAGATCATCTGGATGTGGGACGGAGGCACTAAGCCAATACCAGGCTGAAACGCTGAGGAAGCGGGGGCAAGAGGGACACTGATAGACAGTGCTTCCGCGCGGGCCAACTCCATGCCATCCCAAACTGCCTGAATCAGCCAGGCCCTGTTTTTACATAGGATGGGAGGTGATCTATCCTGTCCATACTATGGTCCCAGTCATCAAAGGACTTGAGCGCTTCAGAGCACTCTGGCTGGTCATATATCATTGCAAGAATCGAGTCCGCACAGCTGTCGACACATCAGTTGGGACATACATGTAAAGACCGTTATGCTTCTTACCGTAGATTTACTGTAATGGCCAGTTGCTGCAGTCAAAATAACTACGGGAAGATGAGTCGTGTCGTGACACTATCGCTTGTGAATGACATCAACATATTGACCTTAAAAAATGCAAGGACGGCCTCCAGCCACAATCCAAGTCCCGGTCGACTGGATAATGGTCTTGCATTGTCACTCGCCACGAACACAGCCCAGATCGATACATCACAGCCAGCAAGTTGATACGGGAATTCAATTCTATTCCATGTCTGAATTCGTCACGTCAACATTCAATACGCATCCTGGAGATGAGCACTCACCGGTACATATGCAAGAAACAGTCTTATAAACACGTACGTATTGAGAGGAAACGATGGTGAGCGCAATCAGGCACGGGACCAAGCAATCATGAACCATCATCCGTATACCCGAGCTCAAATGGCCTGTCCCCACTTATTAGGGACATCAACCAGACCTCGTAAGCTGGGTCATCTTTCTCCACGAAACCCGTCTTTCCATGAGCCTCCCTTCGATTATCAATCAACCGCCCAACTTGAAGCGCGCCATCGGAGACCTTGGGATAATCGCGAATGGTAAGAGCGTATGTACTGAGACACAACTACGATCCATGACGCGGCGCCGACAGCGCTTCGATGAACGCGTCCTGGAAGCTAGGACACCGGCAGATGTCAATGCACATGTAATGTTGTGTGGCGCTATACGTCCTGGCTAATACGCACTGAAAGTCCATCTTGACGTCAATAACTTCGAGCACGAGCTCGAACGTGCGTGCGAGGGCTATCTCGTCCCGGGGCAGCGCGCTGCTATGATCTGCAGGTGTTCGTGGTGTTGGTTCATGACGCGGAACAGATCGGTGGTGAAATGTGTTGGCATCTCCAGTATCAGGTTACGCACAGAATCCTCTGACCAAGGCTCCCTAGAGCAGTCCAGACCGAAGGTCACTGTATAAGGTAGAGATTATCTCCCATTTGCAGACGACTGGCGGCGAACAGCATGAAGTTGGGTGTATATCTTGATATCTTCACTCCTGTGATACTTGGAGAAGGCCATCTCTAGCAAAGGTATATATCACGATAAATGTAGCCGTCCACACATTTCCTCCAAGCCTGGAGCATGGAATGGTTGTCAGCATTCTACGCATCGAGCATGGTAGACCGTCAAACGATTGGACCTGTAGCTAGACCTGCTTCCATGCATTCCCGACGAGCTAGTGCTGATAAAGGGGGAGCAAGGAACCACGGAGCACGTCGGTACATACTTTCCCGTCGTTCCACTTCAGGCAAAAGTGACTCCAGTGTAGCGGATACACTCAACCCCTCGTAGGGATCCGGTTTATCGAGCTTATAGGAACGGCGACATATGTGGATGTCGAGAGCATACTCGGTGATCCAAGCAAGCGCAGAGAGAATTGAAGACAGGCATTGGATTTTCTATGTTGTCCAGGGTGACAATTCGCGTCCAGAACTGGGGCAGTCGATATGGCATCTCTCTTCGCCGTGGCGTATGGAATGGCCGCCGCTGAGGCGAAGTCGTGAGCAAAGTTGTATCGATCGCGCCAGTCATCCTAACAGGGCGGCGAAGCGCGACAACGATACGCCATATGGTACATTTGTTTGAAATCGGAACTAACTTCAACTTCACTTTTATCCGGGTGAGCCTTGGTCTCCGACTCAGGAACACTAATGATATTGCACGATGGCGCATAACCCGAGTTCGACAGGACTTGGTGTCAAAAGAAGTTGTCCTGAAACTGGTTCCGAATTATGGTGGCGAGCAATGTCCAATCCTGTTTTTTCCAAAACGCAGGACATTAGAGAACTGCCAGTCCCGAGCACGCCACAAACCTCTTCAATATCGACGTGGTCTCAGGGCAGCGGGAAAGTTGCTCTTAAGGACTTTGGCTTCACGACGTCGGACGGGATGCAAACGAAACGGGAAAAGCGACGGGGAGAGGCACCACAATTCTTGACAAATTATCTGTGAGAACGATTCATTGTAGGATAAGTCAGGTCCGATCGACAAAATGGGATAGGTAGTAGCTGTAGCAAATGCATCAACTTGAGGACCTGGACTGGTTCTTGCCGTTATCTGCGTACACACCGATTGCTTCTGCACTTCTTCATACAAAGTATCGACCAGGCTGGGCTAGCTGAAGAATATGAATCGCATCGGTGGCAGTTGTAGATAAGTCGCAACGCATCTCGGTGACGTTATTACACAAATAACCACTCTAGTACGGAATGAAATGACTTATCGCGAACCCGAGTAGTTTGGTATTACGTCGCTATACAGGAAGGTGGTGCAGATACGCTCAGTTAGCAAGGACTGTATCCCAATTTGAACGTTATGAGCTTCTGGACAGAGAATCATGAAAAGGAGATGGGTTCATTTGCTTACGGCTCTAGCAAAAACGCTTGTCCTCGTAGAGCTATCCTGCGCTCCTTGTACGGGCTTCTCCGCCACCCGACGAATGATAGCTCCTGCTCTAAGTGATAAGTAGGGCCAGAAACTTGACGGCGGGGACATATCGAGGAAGAAGATACACGAATAGACACCGCACCGTGGGCTCATCCTGATAGTGAGTGTCGTTAAGTGTTTGATTTCCTGGAATTCACATATCATATCCGGGGTCAATGCTTGTTATCTGTCCGTGGCCAGGGTTGAACGGCACTCGCCAATACTGTATCCAGTTTCAATCCCCACCTAGGACGTATGCATCATGTGTCAATGTCGGCGCCCATGGACATTGAATGCATGACGTCATCAACGAGGGTGCTAGCTTCACCGACAGACAGGAGACTGTCCGCTTGAAAAGATTTTCAATTAATGAACGCACGTTGCAAGCCATGCAGTCTCGTCTCGGCTGCTCCCGACCCTGCACTTTTAGACACAACCTCCGAAGCTTTCGGGACATGCCAGGGATCCGCGCTGCTCCAGACGGGCACTGCGAGAAATCCAATCTCGGTCCGCTAGCAGCCTTGTGGAGGCATGCGATGCCGATTGTGTCTCAGTTCTGGACACGAATCATCATTATTGTCGATGCTGATAATCTTGCTCTATCCGCCATTCCATTTGTGCTCTCTTAGCTCTCCCGACGTTGTCTCGATATCCACATAAGAGTCTAACTGCCACTGGGTTACTAGGGAGTCACGATGTTGACGAGCGCTAGAAACAAGCGCCCACCTACATCCTCTCTAACGCGCCTTCAGTCGGGGGGGAGGGGGGATTCGGATACTAGTTACTGTTTTCTAGAATAAACACTTTGATTTCAATCAGTCTACTCTTGCTTGCAGTCTGGTACAATATTTCATGGGTCGGCCTTAGGTGAGTACCAAAATTCTCTGCCCTTTGTTGCCACTCTTGCTGAACCTGAAATCTGGAAGTTGGACAGTTCGGTCCGCTACCAGGGCGTCGCATTGTGCCTCATTCACGCATCCATTCGAGATGCAATATCTGTCACGATACATGTCCAACATAGGCATGAGACAGTACCATCAGCATCAATAACCATACTTCGACTGTTAATTGGGTGCAGGTCACATTCGTCGAGTAGTCGAGGGAGTGAGTGTGTTCCGACACTGCACATCATTCACTGTACGTCCTCACAAATATATTTTGAAGCTCACGCAGGGCATCATATGTGCTGGTAATTACACGAAGAGTCTGCTTCTTCCATTCCGCATACATCCCTTCAAATGCGAAGCTAGCTCACGTGTCTTTTGCAGTTAAGGGTAGTTTATATTGGTCCTACGCGGAGACCTCCTGACGCATCCGCCATCAAGCTACCTTCATCCGCTAGACTGGAGTAGCGAGTCTTGTCGCGACGCCAACAATACAACTGCTCGCGCATGTCAGAATCAGATCCATTCCGCCAGCACTGACCAAATGCATGAAATTCGTTAACATGCTCTGCGAAAGATCAAGTAATGTCTAGCCCCATCAAACGTGACAGTTGGAGTAGCGAAGCCCCGAGCGTATCATTGGTGCCAGGTCTTGTCTGGAAATACGATAACCCAAGGCATATACCACCAGACAAATATTGCTTCCATCTGCCGTCGCGGTACTTCGAATAGAAGGGCGACCTCCCCAGTCCAATACTGATGCAGCTTCAGGAAAACCAACGATGTACTCGACTTAGAGCTCCGCGCGTCTCCCTCCAAATTGAAAATGGAAGACATTTCCTCAGCTGCAGTTACTGAACTGCGCGGCGACCTCAAACTGGGATAGGCATATGGGGTCCAGGAAACGGACCCGCAGTGGGCGGTGGTGATATCTGGCACTACGCTCTTTGTCTGCAACAGGAAGAACCTTCTTTCGATGCCAAATGCTGAGAAAGTGGACGGTTACCGCTAAGTGCTATGCGCATCCGATAGGAGTCACATTGTCTTGCGCCCTCTCCCAGAGCGCAAAATGGCGCTATACTACCAAGGGACATGTGAAGCCCATATTGGATTCTGGCTGTACACATACCTTCACAAGCACGTTCCATGCTGAGACTTGCAGGTGCACGCAGGTAACATGTATCCCAGCATTGCATCAGTATTGCTGCGGAGATAATCTGGGTAGGCGTACTAACGGCAGTCACACAGCATGAGATCGAAGGGGAAGAGCCAATCCTAAACACCAAATATTTCTGATATCCAGCCGAAAATCGCCCTTGCTATAAGCTTAGACAACCGCAGGCTGAGAAGCTGGATAACGCGGCGCACAACCATGAGGCCGACAGTGTTTCGAGAAATACATCGGGCAGGCTAGGACACTCGAAAATGGCCAGACTCGTGTCCTCCGCTATGCGTTTGGAGGAATTGAGTACGCGCCGCAAGTCCGCATTGCTGTCGATGCTGCATGGATGCGAGATTGAGGGTCGGTGAACAGCCTCGCGATGACGAGCCAACATCACCCGTAGGAACACATCGCTCAGATATGTTGCCAAACGCGAATCTCCCGAGCAATCCATACCAAGGCTTACAGGGTGCAAGCAGCCGACCGTTCCGCAGACATTACTATCGCCCTGTTTCGGGCATGAGCAACCTCAGCACAGCAGAGATGCACGACCACCTGCAAGGGTCGGGGACAGGTGGCCCAGGCAGGTACAGAACGAATGGCGGATAGAGGAATGGGATTGCCCGCATCGACAAGAACGATGAGTCGCATCCAGAATACGGACACAGTCAACATGACATCTATCCATGCAGTGCAACCGCCTGCCATGGCGTACGGGGAAGCAACTGTCAGAGGGAACTCATCCCGCTTGATCCAGCTACCCCACGATGGTACGAAGGTTGTACTAGGCGTACACACCTGCGTGAAGACCAAAACCACGACAAGAGTAGAATGACCCGCGTTCTCCCGTTGGCCGACTCGCTCGTTGTCTCGATCTGCGTAGCTTCTCCAGGACAAGCATGCTTCCACATCACGAAGGCACGACGGTGGTTTGACTATCTGTAATAGCGGGCCAGCAGTGAAATGAGGCGCAAGAGATGCACCATATATCATGGGAAACGCATGCGGACTACACGTTGTACGGAAACAAAGACAATGTTTCCGCAAACGCACGTTCCGCTGCAGCAACCCGTCCGGGACGTAGCTGCCAGAAAGGAGAGACGGGCGTCTTGACGAATATGATAGCGAGGGAAGCACGCAAATAATGTGGGCGGTTGCGGTTGGCTGGATGCGACCGAGCGTCGCTTTTGCATCGCTGGGATTCGTATGGCAGTCGGTATCTACACCGGTACACGTAGTGAGGGCGAAACAACAGCTTCCGCATGACGAGGATACGCCGACCGACAGAACCTAGGCCGAGTCAATGCGCTCTTCGCGCAAGACGCTCCCGCAGTCGCCCAGCTGCAGCCATATCGGCAGCCGGCCTGCAGGCAGGGACACGTCATGGAAGCGGTTTGTATCATGGCACAAGACAAGCCTTTAAAGACGCGCCGCTGCCGACGGTCAGGAACCTAGAGCGCACTGGGGAGAGCGGGGCGAGCGCGAGCATCAAGTCGAGAAATTCGATATCACCGCGTGGTGTTCGTGGCGACTGCTCCTGACGACTCGTACTCAGGTCCAGAGATACGCACAACAACGTCCCAGGTCAAAGATACGCCAGGGATCTGCGCTGCGCCAGATAGGCACTGGAAGAAGCATAATCTCCGTCCACTGAGGAATGGATGTCGGCCCGGGTCCCTGCCCCGCACTCTGGTCGAGCAAATGAACCAGCCCAGCGCAGTCGTCTTCTCGGCGAGGGCTATGGCTCGACTAGCACCGATCAAAGATACCGCGGTAGCAGTACGCAGGAGAGCCCATGGGGTGCGATCAGCGATCAGGCTCTATCAGAGGCACAGCCAGCGCGCCGCTGGGCTGGCCGTGAATCCTACTGCGGCCATACCATAGTCGTGCCCAATCTAGCCCATCGTCTTCGTCGTCCTGGTGGGTAATAAGTTGGGCACGTCGATGCATGGGACGATCGTGCTCTCTTGGGCTAGGAGGACTTGCGCGCGGCACTGGCGGCAAGCGCATCTACACGCCAGTACACATATGTACACGCTGCAGAACAAGCGTTCGTGCGCGACTTGATCGAGTGCATGGCCGTGTCGAGCGTCAGACATGCACCACTGGATGCAACGCACACATCACCTCCTCACCGGCCATGTGTCCTTCGACGTACAATCGAATCCCCAATTGAAGACTCCACTGGTCGACTGCGCCGCTGACAGCACTTCTTCCGCGCAAGTGGACTCGATGGAACACAAGCAAGCATAGATTGGGTCGAATCCAGGAATACATGTCAGAAACCGGCGACAGAGCCTCATAGCCTCGTACACTACCCCAACACACCAGCGACCGAGCCATAAGGAAGCGTGTCCGAATCCGCGGCTCTGCATCTCTCGCAACCAGGAGGAAAAGAGAAAAGCGCGACAAAGTCGAGCACCAAGACATCCGGTCGATATCCGCCCTGTATTGGCACAGACCGGCCGTAGGACGAGGCGAGGTCTGCAATTTGACTGAAGTGCGTGGCAGTGTGCGGAGAACTGTGTGCCAGGCACGTGTGTCGGCTGTTCCCGGGGGAGAGGGCTGAGATGAGATTTCTCTATCGACTCGTGTCTTGCACTTTGGATATGTGTCTAGACGGCACGATTCTTGTGTTCCAAGAATGCCCACCACACGCCCCCATCGCTAGGCTGACTTATAAACACGTTTTCCTCCCAACGCGTTCACTCGAGAGAGAACCCCCGTCTCTCGAAGAGGAGCGCCAGGTCGTTAGCGTCGCTATTAACTGTCTTTGTGTTTGCCGCCGCACTCAGTGGTCACCGGCGTCGTCCAGAATGCACAGGCTCGTTCGTGTATGATTGCGAGGTACCATATTTCAACATCAAAGACTAGTGAGAGTCAGGAAGACTGTAGACATGGCGCCAGGTGGGCGGCTGCGCATATTCTGGGGCTCTAGTCGAGTGACG